GCAGCCACCGAAGTCAGTTCTAGTGTAGCTCTGACTAGAGCAGAAGCTAGCTCGCACCTGACAAAGGGCAGAAGACACTTCACCGAGATTAGTGGTGCAAGCAGTATTCATGATACTTGTACTTGCAACTGTGAGTGTGGCTAATAAACATGTTTGCCAAATCCGAGACCCACGTGATGTTATTTGTCATGCTGCATAGGCAACATGCAACAATATATATATATATATTGTTGCATGTTTCAGTATATGTGGCCATTTTTAAAATGATGTGCTGTGTGTTCTTATATTTATTTCTTCCTGTGTTGTTTTGTTATGGCAGTGATGTGTATGTTTCCTGAAAAACCTGTCTGCACAAACTAGCTACCACAGTGTATGAAAAACATTCACATGCCTGTGCATGTATGTCTTGGTGAACACATGTGTCTCTGTGTATGTGTATCTTTGTGTGTGTCAGTATGTCTCTGTGAATGAGTGTGTCACTCTGTCTGCATATGTCTCTGATATAGGATGATGCGACATTTCATTCCCAGTGGACTGTTTATAATATCAAAGCATTAATTTGTCATACTGGAGCATGATGTTATAGTGGTAACATACCTCACTCATATTTATAAGTTACCCAATTCAAATTAAGGCCCATGATTGTCTATCCAAAGGATTTTCAGTCAATTCTTTCAGACAAATTCAGTGTCATTCTTGAGTCTTGACCTTCAGCTGCATCAATGACTAGAAAGTATCTGATGTTTTGGAAAATGCTATACATATTATCTTTAGGGTATGACTCTCCTGTCATGACATATAATTGTGTAATATATGCTCCTGGGGCTTCTTCTTTTTTTTTTTATTGCTAGTGGGGTGGGACTAAGTCCCTTGTACTGTGGCCACTTCTGGCTTATTGTACCAGCCCCAAATGATGGGTGAGGGTGATTGTGGAGCAATTAGTGGAATGAAGATTGGCAGGGGAAACCGAAGTACTCGGAGAAAACCTGCCCCAGCGCCACTTTGTCCACCACAAATCCCACTTGACCAGACCTGGGATCGAACCTTGGCTGCCGTGGTGGGAAGCCAGTGACTAACTGCTTGAGCTATGGCGTGGCCTGCTCCTGGGGCTTAGTCCCACCACATATAGCCTTATGTCCAGGGAACAAGAGACAATGTTGTCGTGTGTCTCTGTATCTCTTGCTCCTTCTGTGTGCCCTTGTGTTTGTGTAATGTATCTTTGCCTCCTAGTGTGCATGCTCCTCTGTGCACCCATGTATATGGCTTTTTGTATGCCTTCATTCATGTGTATGAGTGAACCCCTCTCCTTATGTATCTCTTGGTATGCCTCTCTGTCTGTTTTGCTGGTTCCTTCTCTGTCATTGTATTTATGAGGCCTTCTCTGTATCTCTATGTACCTCTTTGTATGTAGCTTTCTGTTGCCCTGTGTGTCTGTGTATCATTCAATGTGGCTCTGTCTCTATCTTTGTCCATCTCCATTATATGTACCTATGTCTCTCTGTGACTGTGTCTCCCTGTATGTCCCTCATTCTGTGTCTGTGAGTTCATGTTTGTGTATGTCTACATGCATATCTCTCTGTGTGCATAACACACTTCAATTGTGGTATGAGTCATGTGCAATATGGAAAAGTCATAAAACAGAAGTATTCATCAATAAACCATTCAGGACTATAGGATAATGTGATAAGCTATATCCATTTTATAGGCCAAATATTAATAGCAAGCTTTTGTTTATATACAACTGCAATCACAAGTATACATATTAAAGTATATTATTAAAATCAATGTTGCATCAATGTTTAATGGAGACAGGACAGCCATAGGACATAGAAGCCATGAGGGGTTGTGATGGCATAAATATTATTTTTCTAAATGCAACCTACAAGCATCACTATTAGTTCAACACCACAAACACATTTATCCATAAAATAGGATGATGGATATAACATTGTACTTCCCATAAATTGACAAAGGACAACATATGACATATCAATCCCACTGAACTTGCTGATAATACTGTAACAATAATTTGTCATATTGAAGCAAGTGGTATAGTGGTAACACCTCTCTCTTGCACTTGCACAGTACCCAATTCAAACGAACGTCAGTGACTGGCTATCTTTAGGATTTCGACCAGTCTCTTCAGACAAGTCCAGCATCAGTACTTTAACATTTTAACACTTTTTCTCATACCCCTCCAAATTAATCATGCATAACCTCTCTGCCTACCTCATACAAGATTAAAATATCTCAGTAACTGATACAGATTCATGAAATTGCTGAACACACACTTCTGAATATTAGGAAGTTCACAAGAAGGTTCTTTCAGAGTGCTGACTGTGCTGACTGTGTTCACGAAACGGACAACATTGTATCAGTGTTATACAGTCTTGATTCTCAATGTTCAGTTACATCAGCGAGTTAAAAGCATCTAACATTTTGGAAAATATTGCATGAATCACCTTACCATCTTCAAAGTATGTGTTCTCTGTGGACAGGTATATATGTTGTTTAGTTCTGGTAGTCAAGGTTTAGCCGTAACACATGCATTCCTTATGTCCAAGGAACTTGAGACCATATTGCAAGGTGACCTCAGAAAAAGTGTGTATATCTGTTTGACTTTCCGTGTATGTGTATATCTGTCTCTCCCCCTCCCACACTATGTATCTGTGCATATGTGCCTGTGTCTCAATGACTGTCTCTGTGTGCCTCTATGTGTCTCTCTATGTGTGAATTGCTGTGGATGACTGTCTCTGTATGGCACCTGTATTTTATGCTTGTGTCTCTTTGTATGTATGTGCCACTGTTTGTATTTCTATCTGTATCTCTCTCTGTTATTTTGTGTATGTTTTTTTCTGTGTTTATAGTGCTGCAGATCAGTATGTTCATTTTGTGCGTGTATGAGTGTGGCTGTGTGTATCTATATGTATTTATGCATGTGTCCTTCTGTTATGTTTCTCTCTCCCTGTGCCACCTCCATGTATTTTGTCACTGTGTATGTGTTTCATCTGTGTGTGTGTACACGTGCATGCAGTGTGTCTCTGGTCCCTATCTGTATCTACTTCACTTCCAGTCATACAGTCACTTACTTACTCATGGAGCTGAGCCCTTCTGGAGGAGCCACCAATTCTGCAGCTACTCAAGAATTTCCCAGCATTTTATGGAACCTGAAGGTTCATTACCATGTTCACAAGAGCCCTCCACTGATCCCAATCCTGAGCCAGATCTATCCAATCTGTACCATCCCATTCTATCTCTCTAAGACCCATTCTAATATTGTCCACCCACCTATGTCTTGGTCTTCCCTGTGGTCTCTTTCCTTCTGGCTTTCCCACCAATAATCTATATGTATTCCTCGTCTCCCCCATTTGTGCTACATACAGTCACTTACTTGTTTCAAATATTCAACCATTCACTATAGATTGTAACAGAAGGAGCTTCCTTTCAGTGTTCTGACAAAGTTCAGCTCACTATTTAGACAAAATGACCACATTCTACTGTTGTTCCACAGTCTTGAGTCATGAGCTTCTGCTGCATAACTTGAAAATATGTAATGTTTAGGAAAAGACTTCATGTACTGTCTTCAAGGTATGTTTTGTGTATGGAGAGGTATGTATGTTGTGTAACTTCATATTTAGAGATTTAGCCACGCTGAACATGTCCCTTACCTCCAGAGAACAAGAAACTTCATTATTAGGATACCTCAATATGGATCCATGTGATTTATAAAGATTTCAACAGAATGATGTTCTGTCTCAGACAACTCAAGCACAAACAATTCCTGACATAAAAACCTGGCACTTACAAAATAGCCTGCACTTGTGCAAAAGTGCAGGTGGCTACTGTATTTCCAAATGGAAATAACAATTAGAGAACTACTGATCTGCAATAACTGAACATTCCATCATGACTAAACATAGCATCCATTTTGATAAATTGGAAGCCCTACCAAATAACCGCACATGCTGTCCCTGCAGCATCTGGGAAACCACTGAAATATCCAATGTATGCACAACTTAAATTGTGAAGAAGGGTAAAAATGAGTAAAGTCTGGAAATAGTTTCAAAATATGATATAACCAAATACTGGAAACTGAAGCTACACATTAGGAACAGACCCAAAAATCTAATGACAAGTTATGTGTGATATGAGGAAGGCAATGACCTACGTCTTGAGCTGGATGCTAGCCAAACAGAGGCCATTCAAAAATGGTGGAAATCATTTTCATGGGTTGAATTACCACTGGAGTTAGGCATGTGAAATCTGGTATGAAAATAATTTATAAATATGCTTCCAAATTATGTAATAAATACTGTTTCCATGTCTATTAAAATTTTGCAGATCTTTCATGTCATGTGCAATAAACTCAGCAGGGAGCAGTACAGAAAATTTAATTGACATTTTAGACCTACTCAAGACCGTGAATGTGTTCATGAAATCTGCTTGTCTATTACAGTGTATTTGGAATTTACTGGTGTAAAGAAAGCATGTGGAAACTCTCTGTGTTCCAGTATGGATTACACCTTTCAAACTTTCTTACATAAGCAAAGGTATGTTACTTAATTAATCATCATGCCATGACGACATATGAGGGAGTGGAAGTATAGCTCAATGCATTCTTGACCTTGTCACTAAATGGCTTTGAGTAGTCCATTTCATGACCCAACTGCTTTACTCTCATGCAAACAACACCCAGTATCTAGTGAATAGGAGGCTGGTTGAGTCTCAGAGCTAGTCTGGCTGCTATGGAGAAAAGAAAACGTCTTGCCCCTGTCAGAAATCAAACCCCAATTTCTCAGCCATCCAGCCCGTAGCTCATCACTATACTGACTGAGCTTTCCTGGCTCCAGTCTTGTTACATAAGGTGTTTCTATTTACCTACAAAACTGATATTTCAGAAAGGTGCAGAGAAAGTAAAATATGCAATATAACAATCAGAAAAAAAGAGAGAATTATGAGTACATGTTGCCATGCATATTTTAGTTCAACTGGTTACTGACATTTGGGTACAGTCCCTGACCATCTCCCATTCTCCTGGCATGCTATGATTGGCTGTCCCTCCATCATGAATTCTGGGTTGCAGTTGAACTGAATCACATCACCTGCTTTATATGGCCCATTGCCTTGGATATAGCCATTGTCTGGTGTTCCTGGAGTATCACACTGCACTTCTGCAAGTAAATTCAATTAATTTAAAGGATTCAGTTTGGCTTCAGGATCATACCTGTTCAGAGACTGACATACTTTAAAACAGAGAAAAGCACAGCATTTTCACATAGGCAAAGTAGGTGGTTGCTAGTCACAAAATAGTCATATATGGTATGTAAATAATGTTTCCCACTTTGGCTGTCATATGGCACCAAGTGGAGAAAAATGACTTTCTGACAAGGTAGTGGGATGTTGACAGTATGTGTTTATTATAATTTCTATAATCTATCTATTCCCCAATATCTAATATTTGCACTTATCTGCAAACATTAATTTTATACTAATTATTATGTCATACCTTGGCAAGTGGGCAGTGGAGAGGCCCAGTCCCCTGTATGCTGACAGACAGCTTCATGTGGTCCACGCAGACCGTAACCTTGGGCACAGCTGAACACAGCTCGGCCACCCACTTCTCTGTTTAGAATTGACACACGCAGATGTGGGTCTGTTAAATTTGCAAGATCTGCACATTCAATACCTGTGCAGAACGATTCAAAAGTCAATATTTAAACAAAAAAAAATTAAATTAGATAAGATTATAAACAAATTGAAGAGGTCATGAAAGCACAGCATTTAGAAATTAAGTACAGTGAATTTACGTGGTGATTTTTGTATTATTTGACATTTCAAGTTAATGACAATTCTTTATTACTGAATGTAACAGCATAAACTTTCACAGGTTTTCTACATACTTGTAGAAACAGTTTCTTAAATCAAGAACTGCAGTCTGCAAACAATCCAGAAACTATACCTGCCATTCAGTGCATTTACACTGCAACTGCAACCACAGTTCCCAGTTATGATATTAATTTGTGTAATGTTTGTGAGCTTCAAGGATGTCACACTGTACAAATTTTTGTTTTAAAGAAACTGTTTTTCCAAGTGTGTGGAAAGGTATGTAAAAGTTTTGTGTTATTATGTACATCCATATAAAAGTATCTTCAGTTTAAAAGTCAGATGATGGGAAAATGATCAACATGTATATCCAAAATTAAAAGGTATAATTATCAGAAGAATTCAGTTATTACAGGTCCTACCTAAAATTGGGAGAGTTAAAATATTCTAACTGAAGAAGTAATTTTGGCAGTAAAAATGCCAAGAGCCCAATTTGTGCTCTTAGCCAAAAGGCCACAAGGTGGCATTCCTCTAAACTTGCCTACTTCTGTTGCTACCAGTATGAAGCTTTCTTGACCACACATGAATGCAAAACACTTGCAACAACACTCACAATATTAATGCTTCCTTTCCTGAGATCTGGGGCTACAGGTTAAACTTGAGTCAACAATAGTGAGCAAAATACACAATAATTTTATGAACAGAAACTAAACATATTAACATTCCCAAATACCTAGATACTGAGATGTTGGTGGCAAAAGATACTGAGATGTTATGTAAAAAAAAAAAAAAAAAAAAGTGACAATGTGAGATCTGAGTTCTCCCTTCAGTGACAATGCAAACCACTGTCCTCTAAGATGTGATGCAGCATGGTCTGCTAGATGTTTCTCAAGAATCTGTAAAAACCTGCTGCCTCCATTGTGTGCCCTGAAGATGGAGGCAGCAAGTTCCTCTGAAACATCGGTAAACATGTACTAGACTACAGGGTATCACATCCCAGAAGACAGTATTCTTCAAACTATGACAAGCTTTTCATACTTATTCTCTTTAATAATGAAATCACAACAATATTAGAATAGCTTGCTAATAGTAATATTGATATCTGCTTCAAGTTTTAAATAGACTTTCATGCAAGAAGTTTCTCTCATTACTGGTGTAGATCATATCTAAGTACCATGCAACAAATTAGTTACTGTGGTGTAGAAAGCATGGATTGATACTTACTTTCACATATAGGAAAAGGTGCACTCCAGTTTCCAGAGGGTAGACATGTGATTTCTGGTGCACCAATCAATGAATTGCCATTGGCACATGACAGCAGGACTTTTGTGTTCATTTTGGTATTCACAGTGTTGAGATTCAGGCCACGGCGAGGTGGGATCATTGGACAATGCACCGCTGATAGGAAAAATCCAACTAATTAATGCTGTATCATATCTGCATTAAAATGTATTATAAATCACTGCAATTGTGAATACCTCTCTTACATTCACAAGATACAGTTGGCAGCATAGCAGTAACATCTCTTCTTACTAGATAAACCTAGTTGAAATAATTTATAAACATGCTTTTTGTTGCTATACACAGCCATTGAGAATGGAAAATATATTAAACAGTATCAAAGGAAATGGGCTGGAACATGTGGAACAAATATCTCCTAAATGACTATCATGGCAGGCACACTTTCATAAACCCAAGGAACATGTGACACAGGCCATCCAAGTTCTTATTAAGATAGAAGAAGATGAGGAAGCAGTTGCAGAAGAAGAAGCAGAGGAAAAAGAAAATAAAAGGGGAAACAATGTTTTCAAGATAGAAGATAAATATAATTATAATGATATATGATTATAATAGTGTTCTAACAAGCATTATATAAACTAAAACCACTCACTCACTCACTCACCCACTCACTCACTCACCCACCCACTCACTCACCCACTCACTCACTCTCACTCACTCACTCACTAACTCACTCACCACCGTGAAAGCCTCAAAACTTTGGTTTTGTTTTATGTACAGAGCTGAAGTCTGACTCATTTTAAAGCTCATGAAATAAGCTTTAAAAAGATAGGTAACATCACTGCATTAGCATAAAAGTACAGTTAGAGATATTGTTTGACCTTCTGTTAAAACCTATAATTTTAAATTAAAAAAAAATGAGCCATAAGTCAATACTTGCTCAACACAAACTGTAAATTTTGAGGTGAAACTGTCAATACACTGAGAGGTACTAAAGATTTTCTGTGCATGGTGCTTATGTGCATATTGTTCGATTTGGTTCTATGCATGACTGTAATCAGCATGTCAGAAAAGAACTTATACGACTAAGTAACCAGACAATAATTTCACTGTTTATAGAAAAGAAGCATGTTTCTTGCTGATTTTATCATTCTGCTCGGCTCTGAGAGCGTAAATTATTCCTGCAGCAGTGTCTACCTCAATTGTCATCAAAACATTTTGGCCAGGAACCTGCACCATGATGACGATGACAACAACCCATTAGGGTGTAAATATTATCTTAACTGTATTTGTTTTTTCTTCTGTATTTAACAGATATTCAATCCGCCATTTATAGTCATAATCACAAACAAAAATCCTGTAATATTGTCATAATTCAGTGCATCATGTGAAGATAGGGGTAAAGCTGTCTCTGCTATGGGCCATTTAAATTCCGGTAATGGCCGCGGGCCGGAGTTAATTCAAATGCCCGCCATGGTAGAATAATAAAAATTGTAATCATGTTACTAAAAATGCTGTGATTCCTGCAATTTTTGTGATACGAACGAAATAAATGCTGCTTTTATCTAGAAAGAATATAGAATCAGATACTGTAATTTACAGATTTTAGAATCTGTAAAAATTGTTACACTGATTCCAAAAAAAAAATTCCCTCAATTTCGAACGTGTCCACAAATATGCATACAGTTTCTGCACAAAACGTTTCTGCTGTACAAATGCCTGCTGCTGACATCATTCCTACTCTCGTACCATCTTATCTGCAAGTGGGTTGGAAGCTTCTGTTTATAGAACACATTCCAAGTACTGGACCCTCTTTGTATACACAAGTGTGGACGAAACTATAAAGCTATCGTATTCTGTCCTTGACACTCTCAGACTGTTTATATCTGAGATGACACACAGTGATCCTCTGAACTGTACAAACAGTACTGCCAGAACTTCCAATCGCAGTGCGTGGTGTAGTTGAATAAGACATCCAGCATGGCCTCATATCATTTGGAAGAAGATGAAATTGAGACCCAGCTGCTCAATGATACAGATTCTGACTGTGCTACAGACGACTCAGATAGCGGCGAGGAAGAAATAGATTCAGAAATTGAAGCCGAGGAAGACCCATCATCTTCGTCGGCAACCTGAGGACCACCACACCAGCATGGCAGGAGGCGTGTGAATAATTATTCCGGTGGAGCTGTGGGGTTAAATATCAATGAAGCTCCAAATGTAAATAAGGATTCCACCCTTTTCTGCGTTTTCATGCTCTACTTCGCAGGGATTATCCGTCTGCTGGTGGAAGAGACGAATAGGTACTACCACCAGTACCTAGACAAACTTCAAGATGGACCTTCTCCGTGGCCTTATGTGATCGATTCCAAGATGTTTCTGTTTCTAGGAATAATCATTCAAATGGGACATGATATTAGAGACAGACTAAAGGACTACTGGTCGATTGCAGAACAATTTGCCACACCTTTCTATTCTAACACAATGAAACGCGACCGTTTTCTTCATTTTGCAGACAACAATACAGAAACTGACAGGAATGCTGACAGTTATGACTGACTATGGAAAATTCGGACCATCTTCGACACTCTCAATGACGTATATGAAAAATATTATAACCCTTCCAAACATATGGCCATAGACGAGATAATTGTTAAATTCAAAGGGAGGATGGTTTTTAGGCAGTACATTCCTAAGAAACACAAATGTTTCAGAATCAAAAATCTTCAAAATTTGTGACACCGCTGGGTATACTTATGACATGAAGGTTTATCTAGGAAAAGACAGGACACGTGCCGACCAAGATGTGACAGCGACACATGCTACAGTTAGGGACCTATGCAGACGTATTGAGGGCGTAGGTCACAAACTGTACATGGACAATTTCTTTTCGTCACCAGACTTGTTTGAGAAACTAATGACAAAGGACATAACATGCTGTGGGACAGTCAGACCTAATCGGAAGGGCTTGCCTGACGATTTTCGATGAAGACAATTTCGACTGAAGAAAGGCGACATTCATGTTAGGGTGAGACAGAACTTGACAGCATTAGTTTGGAAGGACAAACGTGACGTTTACATACTGACAAACATGCCCTATCCTCCAGCAGAAGGCAGTTTCTGTGAAGAGCATGGAAATGCCATCAAGCCAGCAATTGTTGTCGACTACAACACGCACATGGGCTATGTTGACAAAGCGGACAGAATGGCAAACAGTTATAGCATCAGTCGTCGGACCTGGAAATGGACAAATAAACTATTTTTCCATTTCCTGGATATGACGATTCTGAACAGTTTCATCCTGTTGTCATCCTGTGGTGCAAAACTGTCACACAGAGAATTTCGTCTTGCCCTTGTGTGCAACATGCTGGTACATGCTGCAAGGGGTCCACCTTGCCCTCAACGGTCCATGGGTCGACCTCCTGCTGTGTCATCGGGGATATCTCAATTAGAGGAGGCCTCTCAACATCACTGGCCGACTCCCTCTACTTCGAGATTGAGATGTCATGTCGTGTGTGCTCTTCACGTAGGAAACGAAGTTACATCCGGACAAAATGCGTGAAGTGCGACGTTGGACTCTGCATTTCCAGATGTTTCCAACAGTTCCACACAAAGGCAACATTCAGTTAGATGATGCAGGAGGGAAGACAGTCTACTTATAAAGCTGGTGTCCAAAAATAATGTAAGTAGAGCAAGAATTTCTATCTTAAAATTAGATTTTAAAACACTGTGCGCATGCGTGGAATGCGAGTCACCATACGGTGTCGCTTGGCCACTCGGCTTTACTTTAAAGGTCCCCATACCGTGTCTTTCGACTCATAAAGGTTAATTAAGCATTACATTATGAGGAAGGAAGTAGAGCTATAGATTCATGGATTCTTAACCTGGGCACTAGATGGAGGTGAGCAATCAGATTCACTCCAAAGCTGCTTTACACCTGGGGGAACAGACCTCTGTATCTATTGGACAGGAGGTTGGGTGGGTTCCAGAGTGAGTCTGCACATATGGAGAAGAAAAAGTCTCTTGCACTCTGCCAGCAGTCAAACCCCCTTGTCAGCAGTCCACCTTGTAGGCAGTCATTATACTGAACAAATTATCACAGGTCCTCAAACTTATCATGCACTGATGTTCTATTTTTTTCATAACATTTATCAGACTTTGAATATATCTTTGTCTTTAACCTGCATGAACTGACTGGGACAAATGCATGAGCTATTGCATTGTTCAATCACTCTTGTAGAAATTGTTCTTCACCTTTGTACTGCAGAAACGTTATGTACTGGGAATCAGACTTAATGTTATCTGTATACCAGTTACATAATTGGAAAGGAATCATGATTTAACATTTGTATGGCTAATGTAAGCTTGTTTGTGCAGCTAGGTGTGTAACTGTTCCAGCTACATCAGACCTTTCCCATGGGATGTTGCAAAAGATTCCATTCAGCAGTGACAAAAGAAATACTTTCCAAGGAAACACAGTTTGATGATATTCTTTCCATTTTTGTCCTGAGCAGTAAAACCATCAGAGAAGTAATGTGAGCATATATGGTTGGTTTTAATTGAAACTTTTTCATCATAAACTGATACAGATGTACAGCTACTGTATCAAGAGGCAGTCTGAAATTTCCATATAACTAGCATGGCTCAAAGTGCTGTGTGCATTACTGAAATAAATCACAAAAGGGGCTTCAGCATTATTCCAGTGAAATAACCTAACTTCATCACAAAGTATGAAAGAATAATTTTCAGTGAAGTCACCCACAACATACCCATTTATGCTGAGGAGTAACATGAGTTCATTTTGGAAAGTAAACACTACTGTTGCTTTGTGTGTTGTTAACAATTGTTTGCATATCATTTCATCAACTGCATTTAATTTAAACAAATCTGTAAGCATCTGCTTTAAGTTTAGTTTACCAGGACGGTGTTCACAGTAATGAATTCGAAAAGTGACATTTTGGTAATGAAGGATTATATATGGTATGTGACAGACAGACTTTATAGAAGTTATCTGCTTCCTGTTAACATTAATTTTATTGTGTACTGCATATACGTACTGAATGAGTGCCACATGCTCCAGCTGTAACTATATTCTTTGACATTATTTCACAGAATGTGGAAAATCTAACTTTTACATTTGGATACCACTGTTTAGATAATGAGTATGCTTCATTCAGGTTGCACTGAGGTAATTGCTTTTGTTTCTGAACTCTTTCAACGTTCTTTTAAGGATGCAATATCTCCTGGCATATATCTGCTCCCTGTATCATCTCTTAACATCCTACCGGCTGTAGGATTTGAAGCAGGTACTACTTCACTAGTATTCACAAGTTCTTTGACGTTTCCAATCTACACTCTAAATGCTTGCTTTTTTTTCTCTTACATTTGCTCTGTAGGGAAGCTGCCAAAGTTTGTACATGTTCACATCTTTTGCTACTTGTTTTAAATTTTTCTTATAATTGTGCTCTGATTCCTGAATCAGTATTAGAAGGTGCAGCTTATTCACTTGCATTTGCTGACATGTGTAACTTGATTTCTTTACAACACTGTTGATTTTCTGGAACTTTGTACTAGGATATTTCTTTCTATGAAACTGTCTTTTCTTAAATGGTGGTTCACCTACAGCCTGTAGGCTACTGTTTAGTATTTCAATAGTATTTCAATTTATTAATCTATTAATTTATTATTAATTTATTAATTCAATTAATTTCAATAAGTAAAAAAAAGAGGTCAAATTTTCCCTGTGCTTAACTAATTAAGCAGTACGCCATGAAGACATATGGGGGAGTGAATGTATAGATTCATGTATTCTTGACCTAGGCACTAGTGTTGAAAGAATCAAAATATGGAAAAAAAGTTTGAAAAAGTTGTGAGAGAGAAAAGAGAAGCATATCAGAAAATTATACAGAATAAATCTGAGAGGAATCTCTTTGAATGTAGAATAAAATGCACCATAGCAAAAGAATGACAGGAATATGCTGGAACAGCTCATCTTTCAGCATGCTGTGATCATTTCAATCACTTGATATATTTAAATAATATTATAACATTTTTCCTGTTAAAATCGACTCCCATTGGTGAGACAAGTAAATTCAATTTTCTTAAATGTGCACATTTTTGACATAAGAAGACAGGAGATGAACCACAATTCAGTGAATGCTCTTGGGGGCTGGAGAGCAACAGGCTGAACCCCTAGAAGATCAATGTTGCTGCTTCAGGCTGCTGCATCATGTGAATGCCCTCTTCTAGATGAACCAACCTTTCTTTAGCTTCTTTTTTATTCAGTTGGAGGCAGGTACTTAAACTGAATGTCATTTTTGCTTCACATGTTAAATTGGGCCAACGTCTTTTATTATCTTGTAAATGGACAGTGACAGTTCAATTGCATTTTGGCAAGGATTCTCTGAAAACCTGAAATGATAGATTCTAGTATCTTATGTCCAAATTCAATACCCAAAGAAATCATACATATATTTTGACCTTAAGTATTTGATCCTTTTTCATGGTCATCCCTGTGGTGATAAACAATTTTAATTATAAATAAAGTAATTAATATGGGTGTTGTGGAAAGAAACGCGTTTTATTGCATTTTTAAAACAACACAACTCTAGTTACTGCCTGTAAAATGACCCTGAGGAGTCCCAGTGCTCAGACTATAACCAGTGCATAGGCCTGGCTGCAACACCTAAAAAATTATGAGACATCTTAATGGGGAAGAAAAAGGTATATCACAAATGAGTATCACAAAAGAGGAAGAATGGCTCCAATATTATAGAAAACTGTTGAATGCTGCGACTGCCTCTGTGGTCTAGTGTTCAGCGTTCCTGGCTACAGATCCAGAGGTCTGGGTTCGATTCCTGGCGCTACCAGATTTTTTCCCTGGAATGGGGTCCACTCAGCCTCGTGATCATAATTGAGGAGCTATTTCAACGAAACAGCAGCTCCAGTCTAGAAAACCGAAATTAACAGCCATGGGGATTTTTGCGCTGACCACGCGACACCCTCTAGCCACAAAAGTTGGCACTAAACTTCACCGACAAGCGGCGGTCGCTTGGTCGGTATGGTTTGCTTGCGGACTGAAATCACGGAGTGGAATGCTGTATTTAAGCATCCTGTTGCATTACTATATCTAATACTCAACCTCTTTATTACAACCATCACAACGCAACAAATATCAAGATCAGTGCCTAGTTTCGGCTATCAATAGCCATCATCAGGCAAATACATGGTTAACATATATACACCACTGAAATGCAGTACTAGTAAAATTGGATACAATACTATTAATTATATAAAACACTTGACATAAAAATACAATAAATCAGATTATATAAAACAGAAGTTATAGTATAAAACAAGAATAAAATTCTTAGATTGATGTTTTATATCATCGAATCAGTCGTTTGTTTTGTAATTTTGTTGTGTTCCCATGGACAAATTGGAATATTCTATATTTTGTATATAAAACTGTATATGAGGCTTGTGATGTAGTTGTAGTTAATTAATGTTAATTGTTTAGTTATTGCCTCATCTTACAAAGTATTGTCCATTCTGTAGGGAATGTAAACAACGGTTGTAATAAAGAGGTTGTATATTGTAACACAACAGGATGCATGAAATGAAAATTATATCTAATACTGTTTATTGTGCTACACAGTCCATCAACAATGCAACAAATTGTTCCTTCTTTCTTACAATTTCTTACATTTATTGCATTGCTGAAGGGTGGTGTAGTACATTATACTGTGGAATGATGATCCTGTAGATAATAATATAGAAATTGAGTAAGACAACCCTAGTTATAAACCTGAAAATGTATAGATATCTTCAATAAAGAGCTACTTAAATATGGTGGAGCATCTTTAATGCTACAACTGCTACATTTCATAAATCTGTGCCAGACAAAATGTGGAATTCCAAATGAATGGACTATTGCAATAATAAGGCCAATATAGAAGACAGGAGACCATTTGGATTGTTACAGATATTGAGGTATATAAGTTTACTGATGGCTGGACAAAACATATACACAACATACATATTTAATCCCACAATAATCAGAGTTAAAATGGCTTCCAGAAGGTATGATCATACACTGATAATGTTTTCACATTAAAAGTTCTAATAAGGCCTGAGAATAATTTGGAAACTTGTATAGCTTTTGTAGACTATGAGAAAGTTACTGATTGAGTCAATAAACAAATACTGTGGGAAATAACTATTAAGAAATGGAACCCCAAGCCATATAACTTAGGTTATTAAGAGCTTATATAACAAAACATTCCTCTGTATTGATGTGGGGACCAAAACTGGCAATGGACCAGGGTGTTGTTTGGGGTGTTTGACAAGGATGCAGTTTGTCAGCAACCTTATTTTTTGTCATATCCTTTGTAAATTCAATTAGATACTATAGGGTTCTGATGATGGTGTATAACACACAGAGATACTGGGTTTTCAGACTTTGTCCATCATCCAAATTCTAAATAACTAAGAAAAAAAGAAACACAACATTTCAGAAACTGGATCTGTTTCCATCCTCAGGTGAGGGAAGACACCTACTCTGTTGGGTCCCTTAGAAAGAGCTAGCCTCAATCACTGGACAACCAATGTCACAAACACCAGAGCTAGCCTCAATCACTGGACAACAGATTTCACAAAACACCTTAGTATCGTTTTTTTTTCTTAGTTATTTAGAATCCGGACGATAAACAAAGTCCGAAAACCCAGTATCTCTTTGTAAATTTGTTGAATTTCTTATGCAGGTATTGTGGGTTCATACTACACAGTTACAACCCTGTACCTTCACATCTTGAAAAACAAATGCTGCAAAAATGACTAGTTAGTTAGTTAGTTATTGGAGAGGGTGGGTTTCCCCATGCACTTAGACCTCTATTGGTCCATTGTGCTTCCCTCTATGATTTCTACCAGTCTCTATATCCTACCGGTACTGCTGCTTACCATCAGTCCCGCCCAGCCAGCGAGACCGGCTCTACTAGCTGAGAGGTATCTATAATGCTTCCCCCATCTACCAGAGGTATTAGAGACTGCTGTTGGGTTGGAAACGTCCGCAATTTGTCTCAGTGACCTCCTTTGGAGATATGAGGTTCTTTTATGTGCCATAAAGCTACGACACAGGACCCATGGCTTAAAGTCCCTCCCGGAGGACTTGTTCCCTGAATTTTTCCACCCTTAAAAATTCGACGACCTCCGCCGGGTATTTGAACCCGTGTACTACGAGTCAACAATATGACCAACAAAAACTTCTAATTGTGGAAGAACATTCAGTGTGCCTGTTCACATTTAGTAAGCCATTTTAAATGAAGGTGCTTTTAATTTAAACTGTAAATTAATAACAGTCTTCTTTGTAGGATCTGTCTTAGGCGTAAAAAGTTCTATGTTGCAGATTATGTGGCCACAAAACATATTTCTAAATTTTAAATGTGTCTATGGGGATTTTTTTTCCTGAGAACAACTGTAATGCAATATATCATACCTTTCACAAGTATCTCTACTGAATGTGTATGTCTGGTAGGAGTAACACATGTAAATACTCCAGAATCATCTCTGCTGGCATGATAGATGCTGAGACGATACTCCAGCTGTGAATCACGGCCTGGATCAGTTGTCCAGCCTTCAGGATACTTTCTATAAAAAAAAACAGGTCTTCAACAGCATTTAATTCTTAGAATATAACTGGTCAAAATAACTGATGAAGATTACCATCTTCCAGGATATCACACCATGTAGTCGAGTATAAAATTACCGACTTTTGGAAAAACCTTGTGCCTCCATCTACCCTGATGTTGGAGGTAGAAGATTCCTCCAAAACATTGGAATGTTCTATCAAATTGCATAGTGTCACAACCCAGAAGACAGTAAGCTTCACAGTCAGTGCTGTGAGAACCTCATTCCTTGGTAAAATGACTGAAAGTCATCCAAATTTCAGAATCAAAATTCAATTACAATTAAGAAATAAATTTAAATTATTATATACATTACATGAACAATTTCACACTTTATAAGTGCAGAATACCATTATGTTGAAAGTTTCTATACCTTATAATTATTTTTCATAATATTTATGAAGACAAATAGAGATTCAAGACTCTAGATAAAATTACTAAATACAACAGATTAAGTTTACAGTTTAAAATGTGCTCAGTTGCATAAAAGTAGAAGACTGTCACATAAAATGTGCAGAAAGATAAATATTTTAACAGCCTCTCACCTGTAATTGTGACTGATCACCCACTTGGGAGTGCCAAACCTCCGTATCCACAGACACTCCATGTGCAGAATTGTTCCTGGATATACAATCAGCCTCCCATCATTGCTCTGTGCAATTGGTCCCAGTTGATGACGGAATAAGATTGTTGGTGGTTTTTCTACTGCAGGAAGAAAAACTGTTACCCAGGCATACACAAGTCTGCCAATGTTCTGAAATATTGTGAACATCAATAAAACTAAAACAAATTACATGCAGACAAAATCACCAAGAAGGCATACACACAAGTTCATAAAGACAGAAAGATTCACTACGTGTAACAAGATGAATAATATTATTTGAATTTCTCACGATCATCTGTAAGTCAGACGTCCAGTATGTCCATGGCAGGGAAACATTAAAGCTGAAATGAATACAGTGTTCACATATAACTGTGACTGACACATTATCACTTGCATAGGAGATCAGTAACATTTAAATTTCAAATGAGATGTCCTCAATACATTAATTTAAACCCTAGATTCACTTATAGTTTTACAAAGAATTACTTCATAAGCTTGATATTTTATTCAGTGGCTTATATAAAACGACAAAGGCCATATAACCTAATAAATTAACACATTCCCCATTATGAACACATTTAAAACATTTTTTTCTTCACTCTTCCTCTTCCATGAACTTGGGAGTAGTAGCACATGGGTGTAATATATATGAGAATACTATAATGCTCTAGTTTGCTTTTAGACTCTTTATGCTATTAAAACTCATAAATTATTGAGATTTTGATAGACAGGTGCATGGAAGAGTAAATTCTAATCCTGTAACACAACAATATAAAGCCTTTAAACAGGGTGAAAGATTATTAGATTTTCATTATGATCAAAACACATGAAAACACTACATGGATAATTAACATTAATGCAAGAATATGAATGTAGTACATTCATCCATCCTGTTACTTTATAATGGCATAAACAACAAATAAAAACTGGTAGCATTAATTTTGTGTATGTTACTTTATGACAATCAAGATGGAGGTAATTAAGATATCTTCAGTAAGCACACCAAGGCACTTAAATTAATGCAAAACAAGGAAAAATCAGTTTCTCCACTTGGATTTTTCATAGATGACAATGGTGACAATGTATCATGTCACTTAGCATATTACTTAGAAATCTATCCAAGCACAATCTAAAACCGCCAATTACATTTAATTAAGAACAACTTACAAGGCTAATAGCATTCAAGCATTCAATACAGGTGTGACACATTCAAGGTTCAATAGTGATGAATATTTGCGTAAAACCGATGAAGTGAAACTACTTAAACTGAATTACATGTTTAACTACTACAACATGAAGCATGGTAACTATAGAAGCATTCAAAATATTGATTCCCATATCCATTTCTTGTAATAAATCGGTGTCATCTTACATTTTTTAAATGAAACAAAAATAATATTACTGGTTAATAATTTTATGTTCTTATAGAATAATTTTTATATTTTTGACATCACTGTTCTCTCCTGAAGGTGTTGCTATGGACCCGATGGCATGCACTTATAACCTCATGTTTACCTCATTCTTTGTACTTAACACAACTGGACTTTTAATTAATAAGACACAAGGAGTAACTTGTCTACATGCATTCAATTGTTAAATCTGCCAAGCTGTGTTCAAAACTGCAAATGAAGTTACCATCTGAGATGTAACACTACTTCAATATTTTCAGAGAACCTGAATGTAGTTTTGATATGAAATCTATTATTTGTGTTGTATATTCAGCATCTGTAGTATATAAAATGAAATAGCTGTGCTTTGATGTGGCTTCTGTTTAGTTTTCTCAGCTATTCTATTCTTTCTCCACGATTAAAAAGTCTGAGCGTGCAAGTTAAGACATACTACACTGGCTTTGCTTACAACACTGAAAGACTTACAGATTCATCCTATAGTGTTAAGTGTACATATATAAGGAAGATTTCCATAATCAGGCCATTCTTCAGAATGCATCTCTAATCTTGTCGGAGGTTGATGTTTAGTTGCAATAGAACAATGAAGGATGAATAGTTCTTTGAATAAATGTATAAATATTTTATGCTGGTTATGGGAAGTTAAACTACACATTTTTTTTCTTCAGAAAATACAAATATAAAATAAAATAAACAAATTAATACACAAATAAAAATATGAAATTTGTTAAAAAGAAATATAAGAAACTGTAGTCACAAGTGGAATATACATTGTTATTTTTCATTTTTGTGTGTGTTTATTTTGCAGCAAAATACGTAAAAAACAATTTCCCATCCAACCTTGTTACATCTGAGTAATGGCAGCTTTAATCAAATAAGGAATAAGAAGCATGAAATAAATATGTATATTTCCGAATACAAGTTCAATTTGTTAAACTATAATTTTAAGGATTAACAGAACACAGGCTTATTTAAAAAATGCAGAATTCATATATAATTGAAATGACTTCATGAGACCCTTATCTCTTATGCTGTAAAACACATCAAAATATTACATATACCTACATGCATAATCATTTTCCTGGTTCAGGCCAAAGCATACAGGTTTCTGTCCATCCCATTCTCCACCCACACAACGACGGCGGCTTGACCCAATCATAGCATATTTTCCAATATCAGCACATCTTGAAACCTGAACAGGTGCATGCAACTGATTTAGGCACATGTATATATAACAGAGATAAACATATTGGGAATATTAATAGCAAAAATAGGATTTCAATCCAAGCCTAGGGTATTTAAATAATGAAACTGAAAAGCTGAAGAGACAAAGGCATGAGGAAAGAAAGTAGTCACATGACATGTGTCACAAGGTGTTAAGTAAAGACATCTGTAGGAACACATTTTTTTCCCTATTAGATTCAATGAAAAATATCCCAAATTTATATTGAAAATATGGACATAATAATCGATTTGGCTTACACACTGAACTCAATTTCAACAAAGCTTTTTGTTTTCTTGTGACTTTAAACTCATAAGGAATACCTGAAACTATGGGATTTTGCCCTCTGCTACAGTAATTGAGTCCATTTTATTTGTATTTTAAAACCAATAATACAGGAAAATACGTTGCACCATACTGGACAATATTCATCTCAGTCACTTACTTTACTCTAATCACATCACCAATACAACAAACATGCAAGATTTGAGGTTTTCATGGCGATGGTTCTGAAGAAAGTAGTCTTCTTGGCTGTGGCGCCATGTAGATATTGTGTTAGTCTGTTAGTACCTGCTCTCGCTGGTAGATTTTATTTTTTCTTCTACCCTGAAGATTGAGGCGATACTTTCTTCCAAAACGTTGGTTAACACAATATCTACATGGAGTCACATTCCAGAAGACTGCTTTCTTAACACAGTTTGAAAAAGAAATTAAGAGCCTACTTTTCTGTTTTCATGTGCAAACAATTGCAGGAAGAAATTGTAAGTTAACCCTTCAGTGTGAACATTTAAATAGTGTACTCAACAGTATCCTACAGCAGTATTTTTTGTAAATCCCTTTAATTTTTTCACTGAAATGTTTAAACGTGCATAACTTTTTATGTATATGAAATATTTTTATAATATTTTTTTCACACAGAGCTGAAGAACTAACAATTTGAACATCTTACCGTATTAACTGAGCATTCTGCAAATTCTTAAAGAAAGGAACCACATCGGAAGTGGAGATTTTTGTGATAGCTCTTGTTGGTTTGAAAAAATTGCGATTTCTAACAACAAACATCAATACAGTATATATAGGCTAGGAACCATCAAAATGTCCAACTTCTTAAAACCTTCTCTACACGAGTTTCCAGGACTCAATCTCAGCATAACTCTAATCGCTCTTTCTTGGGCAACAAATAAACTTTTTATAACTGGAGAAGAACCCCAGCTGAGACTGATAATAAGAAAAATAGACCATTCAAAGAGCTTGTTCACTGACAAGGGATTGTAACTTCCTGAGCATAAAGCATACTGTATTCAGTTTCTTTAATAATTTTTCAGACTGTTTTTTCCAATTAAGTTGACAAGCTAAATACATACCTAAAAAATTAACATTATCAACATCTTTAAGTCTAAAATTATTATATGTTATCGATAATGTATACTCTGGAGACTTAGGAGTCACAAATGTTAATCAGATGAGTTTTACTCAAATTAAGCACCAGATTGTTATTTTGAAACCAGCTTGAAACCCTAGTCATAACTCTATTTAATTTAATATTCAAAGAGTTTAGGTAATTTGAGGTAATTAAAATTACTGTGTCATCTGCATACAGAATAGTACATGCTATATCCCTAAGAGTACCTGGGAAATCATTAATATAAACATTAAACAACATTGGTCCCAGGACAGATCCCTGCAGAACACCAAACCTTACAGATTTCCATTCAGAGATTGTAGTAGTCGAATTACAAGTATGCAGCACAACTCTTTGCAATATATTTTTTAAGTAAGTCTCCAACCATTTCAAAATAGGCCCTTTGACTCTATACATCTTCAACTTTTGAATCTACAGATCATGACTGACACAATCAAAGGCCTTTGTCAAATCACAAAAAATACCTACCACAAACTCCTTATTGTTCCATGCTTTAAGAACAGTATCAGTTAGATTAAAGACTGTGGTTTGTGTAGAAACATCCTTATGAAAGCCATACTGCTCAGGAGCCAGGATATCATTTCTTATAAAATGCTGTTTAAGCCTGTTAAACACTAATATTTCAAATAATTTAGAGAAACTTGTCAATAAAGATATCTGTCTATAGTTGGCAATTTCAGTAACATCACCTTTCTTAAAACATGGTATAATATTTGCATATTTCAATCGGTCAGGACATATGCCCAAACTTACAGAAAGATTATAAATATAAGTAAGTGGTTTTGCTATCTGTTCACCACATAATTTAATAATTTTATTTGACAACCCATCATATCAACAAGAAGATTTATTTTTTTAATGAATTTATCATGCTTAATACTTCTGCCTCAGTAACTGGAATATTTACAATTTCAGAAATCTTATCTGTAGAGTATGTACATGAAAGTGGTAAAAAACATACATTATTAGAACTCTGACCAACTAATTTGTGAACTGAACTAAAAAAATATGAGTTAAATGCCTTAGCTTCATTTCTACTATCGATTATTACATTACCTTCTCTCAATTCCGAATATGAATGTTTTTTCTTCGACTCTCTAGCATTTTCTCTCTTTATGATTTTCCAGGACTCCTTGGATTTATTAGATGCAGCCATTATTATTCCCTCATAATATATAGCTTTAGCTCTTCTGATAACTTTTCTCAGCAACGTACAATATCGAGTATAATACTCCTTTAAGCCTGGGTAATTAGTAGATCTAATCACCAAATACAAATACTTTTTTGCTTACATGAAATTTTAATTACTTTAGTGATCCACTGGTTAGAGTACACATTATTTTTGATAAATTTCGCTGGAAAACACGTTTAAAAATCATTAAAAAGATATTAAAAAATAGATTAAAACTTTTTTTAACATCAAGATTACTTAAAACACTTTCCCAGGTTTCCCTACCCAACATCTCACTAAAAGTTATGATGCCAGACTCAGATATAACTCTTCTTTTAACTAATCCACTCTTATTCAATTAAATAAATAATTTTCCTGGGGAGTAAAGCGCGGCCAGTGCGTAAGGCTGACAACCTTACCACCATCTTTGAGCCGATTGTCTAGATAATGTGGGACCTTCAACGTCTCACAACACTATGGGCCTTCATGGCCTGTTACAGGGATAGCTTTACTTTTACTGAGTACACCTGTAAAGTATTTAATCTGCTGTAATCCAAAAATATACTATCAATAGCAGTACTGGTATCAGCTATCATCCTAACTGGTAATTCAACAACCTGAAACAAGTTGTATGTTTGGAATAGTGAAATAAGCTGAAGAGATTTACTTGAATTCTCTAAAAAGTTTACATTAAAGTCTCCACATATTATTAATTCAAGTTTAGGCTTGTAAACAGATTTCAGTATTAGTTCGAATTGCTTAATAAATTCCTCTACATTTCCACAAGGAGATCTGTAAATCGGACTGCACAGTTGTTGATAGTTTGCTTGTGTCTTCATTCATATACTGACTTTCCAGTTTTATGCCATATCCTGTACAAATAAGGAAAGAGCAAACATAACTCATGCTAGATTGGTTGGGCTTAAATGACATTTTACAGAACTTGGTAGCCTTTAATGAGATGTCCTGCCTTAGTTGTAGAAGGTCCTTCCACAGAATGAAATATTCTGGTCAACAGGGTACAAATTTTGAAATCTGTTATTCAGATGATGAACAACTGGGTACATTTTGAAAAGTTAATGAGGGTATTGAAATTCATTCTTTTTACTGTTAACAGAAAAGTCGAATGGAGGAAACAGCAAGTGGTTTTTTTGAGTAGTATCATCTACATGTTGTGCCCATTAACATAAACATAGTTAAAACCACTTATATGTTTCACACTTTTCCACTTTCTCATTCTAAAGCAAAATGTCAAAGAACAAGATAGGGAAATTAGAACATGAGATGAAAACAAGGAAGAGTGGTAACAAGGGACTGGAAGCCTCGGGATCTAAAGGGTCCGAGGTATTTGTCGGGACCAGAAAGAGAAGTGAGAATACTACACATACTTTCCAAAATATTCCAATTAGGATTACTACGCAAACTAGAACACAACCGTTACTAAAGCCGAATAAAAGTAGTACATCAAGTAATTCAATATCTACAGTGTGTCCTGCTACATTAGAATTAGTAAATGATAAAGTAAGTGCTAAACGAAAAATAGTGCTTATTGGTGATAGCCATGCTAGAGGGTGTGCCAGTAAATTGCAGGAGAAACTCAAAGAATATAAAGTGACAGGGTATGTCATACCTGGTGCTGAAGCGGCAGTTTTGACCAGAATAGCACAGCAAGAAATAAGTGGATTAACAGAAAAGGATATACTTATTTATTGGGGAGGAACAAATGACATTGCGAAGAATAATACCCTAAGAGGAATTAAGTTTATACATCATTATTTGTTGAAAAATCGCCATACTAATATCATATTTATGGAGGCGCCTCATAGGCATGACTTGATGGAAACATCAGTAGTCAATGAGGAGGTTAAGATTTTTAATAGGAAGTTGAATGATGTAACCAGTAAGTATGGGCATACTTCCACAATGCACATAGGCCTAGCAAGAGAGGATTTTACAAGACATGGAATGCACCTAAGAAATTCAGGTAAAGATAAGCTTTTAACTTTGCTGACAGAAAAATTTGAAATACAACAGAGGAAAACACAAGCTGAAATGCCGATCAAACTAAAATGGAAGAAGGATAGAATAACAGATTCCGTGGATGAGCAGAGGATAGCCAGAGTAGCAGAACAAACTGCTCCTCCGAGAAGGCGACGAAAGATCCCAACTACGAGAAATAAGGATTTTTTATGGGAATGATTTATAATAAGAATAAGGTGGATAATAGTAGGCAGTGGACTTCACTTGTAATTTATCATCAAAATATAAGAAGCATTAGAAATAAGAAAGAAGAACTAGACATTTTTCTAAATGATGCATGTAATTATCCTGATATTTTATGTATCAGTGAGCACCATCTGAGTATAAGCGAGTTATCCATATTTTCTATGACAAAATATAAAATGGCAGCAGGGTTCTCACGTAACATGTGTCAGAATGGTGGAGTATGTATTTTAGTTAAAGAAGATTTATCATATCAAGAGCTAGATCTCAAAAATTTAAGTATGGAAAGGGTTTTCGAAGTCTGTGCTGTAAAGATAATTTTAAATAATAGGAAATTATGTATTTTATGTATTTATAGAGCGCCTGATGGAGATATATGTCAATTTATCGAGCGGCTAGATTCCACACTTTCATATCTAGTAAGCCTTAAATTGGAACCAATAATCTGTGGTGATACGAATATAAATTACCTTAGTGAAAACTGTAAAAAAGTACAATTACAAGCTTTATTAGATACTTATAATTTAACACAAATAATTGAGTTTCCAACTAGAATAAGTACTACTTCTGTCTCATTGATTGATCATTTTTTTATAGACAAGAATGCTTATAACAAATTCCAAGTTTGTTCTGCTATAAATGGTCTCTCGGACCACGATGGGCAAATTCTGATACTTGGAGACATGCTGGTGATGAGGCAAAGTGATCATGTTAGAGCATATAGAGACATTAATGAGGAAAACATAGTATGTTTTCAACGGGCTTTACAGAATGAAAATTGGATAGAAGTTTATAATCAAGAGAATGTAAATATGAAATTTAATATCTTTCACAACATTTTTTTATCAATCTTTGAAAATAGCTTTCCCATAGTATATAAAAAAAAGAAAGACTCTAATAATTGGATAACGAAAGGCATAAGAATATCTTGTAAGCATAAGAGAGCATTATACATCTTAGTTAAAAAATCAAGTGATGATAGTTTGAAGTTATATTATAAAAGATATTGTAAGATACTAGTAAGAGTAATAAGAGAAGCAAAGAGACTGTATTATCAAAAATTAATAATTAATTCAGAAAATAAAATACAAGTAACTTGGAAGATTATTAATAAAGAATCCGGAAAAAACCAGGTCTCAGATAAAGTAACAGAATTGCAAGTGGGAGAAAGTAGAGTAACGGATCCTAAGGAATTAGTGAGAATATTTAATAAACATTTTATAACTGTAACTAAGAATTTGGCAACAAAAAATGCTGATAAAAGTGAGGCAATTAAATTATTAAATAACCTTAAGTATGATAACTTACCTGAACTGAAATTAATACCCGTAACTGAGGTGGAAATAAAGAATATACTTAAGACACTAAAATCGAAAAATTCTACAGGCTATGATGGTATTTCTAGCAGAATATTAAAATATAGCATTAATCAAATAAGTAAACCACTTGGACATATACTTAATGCATCACTTGAACGTGGAATTTTTCCCGATAGAATGAAATTTGCGTCAGTAAGACCTTTACACAAAACAGGTGAGAAGGTCGTTATGGCAAATTATAGACCAATATCACTGTTAATAATCTTCTCCAAGATATTTGAAAAAGCGATGTATAATAGGATAAAGCAGCACCTACATACAAATAATCTAATTTCATCTGCTCAGTTTGGATTTAGAGAAAATAGAAGTACAGAATCTGCAATCTATGCCTTAACTAATCATATATTAGAAACTTTGGAACGACGCTGTCTTTCATTAGGAATATTCTGTGATTTGACAAAGGCATTTGATTGTGTGGTGCATGATATCCTTTTGAGCAAGTTGGCTGTATATGGACTTGGTGGTAAAACTTTAAGATGGTTGAAATCATATTTGGGAAATAGAAGGCAAAGAGTGGAATTGTATACTAATGGGAATGAAAAATGTTGTTCAGGATGGGAGATTGTTGAATATGGAGTGCCGCAGGGCTCGATTTTGGGTCCCTTGCTGTTTCTTTTATATATCAATGACCTGTCATCAGCATTAAATACTGATGATAGGTTATTGTTGTATGCAGACGATACAAGCATAGTAGTGTCTGGTATTGATATTGATGAAATCCAAGTAAGGTCTAACTTAGTGTTGAATTCTTTAAGCCGTTGGTTTGCAGTTAATGGCCTGTCTCTAAATCTGAAGAAAACTAAAGTGGTAAAATTTGATACAACTAATCGAGATAATATGTCTATACATTTAAAGTTTAATGATGAGATATTGCATCAGGAAACCCACGTTAAATTCTTGGGCATTGAAATTGATAAGACCCTGAATTGGAAGTCACAGATTGAATCGATGCTGTCCAGATTGGGCAAGGCATGCTTTGCAATAAGAAACATGAAATTGTATAGCAATATTGAAACACTAAAGATGATTTACCATGCATACTTTCATTCAATTATGAGATATGGGATAGTATTTTGGGGAAACTCGTGGGAGGCTAAGAAGATTTTTCTTTTACAAAAAAGGGCCATCAGGATAATGTTGGGAATGAAACCCAGAGAATCATGTAGAACAGTTTTTAAAAAATTAAAAATTTTGACATTGGCTTCTCAATATATTTTATCTTTAATGATACTAATGGTAAACAATCTGGGGCATTATACTTTTAATCATACAATTCATGGTAAATCAACAAGACAAGTTAGAAACCTTCATGTTCCTCAATCGCATCTAACAAAGAGGCAAAAAGGGGTCTATTGTATGAGTGTAAAAGTTTTTAATAGTTTGCCTGATTTTTTAATTGAGTTGGTACATGATAAAAAACAGTTTATTGAGAAACTAAAGGATGTATTGCTTCAAAACCCTTCTTATACTGTTGAGGAATTCCTGCTTTTCTGTCAAGACCTGTCAAGAGGTGTCTGACAGTGTACACTTCATTTAACTCTATGTCCTTGGCTGTGCTCATATATTCTTGCTGCAATTTGTATTGCTTTTTAACTATTGTATGTGTACTTGTTGCAATTTGTATTGCTTTTTAACTATTGTATGTGTACTTGTTGCAATTTGTATTGCTTTTTAACTATTGTATGTGTATTTGCTGCAATCTGTATTTCCTTTTAACAATTTTATGTGTTTTTTTTGACAAGTATGGATTATATATGCTAGTGATTTTGTTTGTGAATGTACATGCTTCCAATGTCTTGTTGGCTTGTTGACATGTTTTATATTCTGTGCCTGTGCACATTTGTGAATAATCTGAAACGCAAATGTATATGTATGTATGTATGTATGTATGTGAATGGCCCCCAGCTTCAAAGGAAGAAGCGTAACAAACCTCATGGAGCCTTTGGAAATAAATAAGTGAAGTCCTTTATCAGTTGAATAGTATTACGTTGATAGCGGCTACATGTGAACGCTTCTGACTAATCTCTTTGTGGCCACTTTGTTGGTACGTGGATGAGGCAAGTTATGAGTAGAGGGATCGGGCAAGTTGCGTCCTGGGTATTGCATCAGAAACATGAATCCTGACAAAATGTTGAGTCAAATATGCAACATATTCTAATACGGAAAAGATAAATTGTATACACATGACCATGATTGAAAATTTGAACATAAAATTAAAAAATATATATGATAAACATTTTAAAAAGGAAATATGCAGTATAAATAGAGATCTTCAAAAATATGATGCTTAATCATAAAACAGGCAAAATATGCATTTATATGCACCATCAAACCATGTCCAAAATTTAAGAAATGAAGTAATTCAATCCAAACGAGCATACTTTCTGGTTGTAAGAAAGAAATATGAATTTGCATTAAAATCTGGTCTCTAGTGATGAGGAATGATGGCATTCCTTGCTCGTTCTCTTTGTTTCTGGTTGGTGGTAGTGCACCCAACTTTCATTGCCAGTAACAATTCTTGAAAGGAAGCCAACATCTTCTGCTTCAAGGTGCTGCAGAAGTTTTTCACAGGTGTCAACACATCGTTTCAATTCTGGAGTCAGCTGCTGTGGCACCCACCTTGCAGAAACTTTGTGAAACTGGAGCACATTAAGAATGACATGGTGTGCTGATCCATTATTCATGTTAAGAATTTCGGCTATTTCATTCACCAACACTCGGTTATTACCCATCACTAGGGCTTCAACTGCTGCAACAGACTCAGGGGTCACAACTCTGTGCACCTCACCTGAGCGAGGAGCATCTGCCACAGATGTCACACCATTTCTGAATTTCCTACTCCACTTCTACACTTGTTGCCATGACAAACATGCAGCACCATACTGAAGCTTCATCCATTGATGAACTTCAATCGGTTTCACACTTCACTGATCAAAAACGAATTATAGAACGTTGTTCTTCTTTCATGCATGTACGTAGTGGAGCCGCCATCTTCAAACCGGCACTGTGATGGAGTTCTGTTCGTCTGCATTATACTGCCACCTATAGGATACTCTTTATAGCATTGGTAACATGGCCGCCAACTAATAGAACAATGGCATGATATTTGAAATTTTTATCTCAATTTTACGGTTTTCATTTGACTCACCTACGTATGATAGGAAACATCCCAAGAATCAGACAGTGTGCTTATACATTCTTCCATAAACTTGATTCCTAAAATTCACTATTCTATCTTTCATGCTTTTCACATGCAATGGTAACTCACCAATAAGGAACCCGGTGGGAACTCCACCACTTCCTCAGTAATCTGCTGATCATTGTAAAATGATACAAGATTAGGTTCTGTGTTCCGAAATACACATGTACTATTCCGTAGAATCCCCACTCCATCCAGCACATCTTCACCTTCTGCAATAAAATAAACAGTACAATGCTGAAGGTGTCTGAGTGAACAAAAATATTATAGTCAATTTGAAACAGGGCAAGCTTGCTTCCTTACCAATCCCTTTTCTTCACTACACCATTATCTTGTCATCTCAATTAACACTGAATCATTTCTACAGCTGATACAGAATCATTACATCATACATTAACCTAATTTCTTTAAATGTGATGTCAAACCATTTCCTGAATAGTTCTACCTTCTGGGATATAATATCAAATAGTCCATTGACTGTCAATCAGTGTTTTGGGGAAATACGTCACCTCCATCTTCATGTTCAAAGAATAAGCAAAGCAAGAAATTAGAATGAAGCAGGTAGCAAGATCTGCTACCTGGTTTCTTGCTTGGTTTATTCTTTGATCTTGAAGATGGATGCAACGTATTCCTCTGAAACATTAACTGACATTCAACAAACTACATGGCATTATATCCCAGAAGACAGAAATCTTCATAACAACCACTGTGAGGACCTCAAACCCTACAAAAATATCTTGCTAAAGCCACATATCCTTACTACTGGTGAACGTTTGCACATGCTTTATCCTTGCACCTGTTGAAATGAATTAAATTTATTTGCATTCCATAGATCCTAAGTAGGTTAATACCTATGGATATAGAACAAGTCAAAATAATACCTACTGGTACAAGCAATTTTATCTTAAACTAATATATTTCCACACTAATTCCACATTATTCTCTATTTACATTGAGGTATCCGTCTACAGAGTAGAAGGAATGAGCATGCAGATATTTCTTTAGCTCTGATTTAAAATGTCTAGTATCATTACTCAAGTTTTTGATACTTTGTAGGAGACTATTGTACACTTTTATGCCAGAAAAGTAGACTCCTTTTTGATATAGTGATAAGTTTGATGAAGGTAGATGGAAGTCATATTTTTGTCTAGTATTCATGTTATGGATATTGGAATTTAATTCAAATTTATTTTTGTTGTACACAACAAATAAGAGAAGCGATAGTATATATTGTGATTGAAGAGGTAGAATTTTTAATTTCTTAAATAAATCTGTACATGAATTTTCATGTGATAAAAGAAATAATGTGACTTCCATCATGACTGGATATCTTACAGACACTACCATGAAGCACACAGTGTGTGTGCAAGTTTGAAATCCCATCTTTCTTAACACCTTTCTCTATTTTTCCTAAAGAGTTTGCTAAATGAAGTCATATGAAACACTTGCAAAAATGTATTAATTCAATAGAATTGCACCTCTGTAACCCTTCCAATGCCTTGTTTAGTAGCTATTTTTAATTGGATGCCATGTATTATTATACAAAATACTGTTCAACAGGACCAGGCTATTACAATCAACCACACTGTTGCAAATTGGAGTTCACCTGGCACATATTTTCACCATTATCTGATAAATATCTAATACTGAAATGAAACATACCACAGTTGAGGGATCTTCCAACCCAACTTCCATCTTCACATACAATCCTCCATGTTGTCTTTTCACCCATGATGCTAGCGATGCAGTTGAAAGTAACTTCTGTACCATCCGGAAAACTTGAAATCAGACAACAGAGCTCACACATATCTGCAGGTGGCAACAACACTACTGGTGAGTGAAAAAAATAGGAGCAACTGATAAATACAAGCAGCTATAATTAAACATTCTTCCTTATTTAAATAGTCTTCCTCGACCATCAAAATCGTGTTTGTCCAGCCAATAAAAGAAACATGCAAGCAGTTGCTGAATGAGCTATAAGCAACAAATGGATAAGCATAGAGTTTCAAAGTGTCTCTGTTACTATTTTGCTTTTACAGCTATCACTACACATGTTACTTACTTACTTACTTATGGAGCTGAGCCCTTCTTGAGGAGAAGCCAAATCTCCAGCTACTCAAGAATATCCCTGCATTTTATGGAAACCAAAGGTTCATTACTGCGTTCACAGGAGCCCTCCATGGGTCCCTATCCTGAGCCAGATTAATCCAATTCATACCATCCCATCCTATCTCCCTAAGATCCATTTTAATATTGTCCACCCACCTATACCATGGTCTTCCCAGTAGTCTCTTTCCTTCTGGCTTTCCCACCAATATCCTATATGCATTCCCTTTCTCCCCCATTCGTGCTACATGCCCTGCCCATCTCATCCTCCTTGACTTGATCATTCTAATTACACTTGGAGAAGTGTACAAGTTATGAAGTTCCTCATTATGCAGTTTTCTCCAACCTCCTGTCACTTCATCCCTCTTTGGTCCAAAATCCTACTCAACACTGTGTTCTCAAACACCCTCAGTCTATGTTCCTCCCTTAATGTCAGAGACCAAGTTTCACACCCATACAGAACCACCGGCAAAATTATAGTCTTGTATATTCTAATTTTTACGTCTTGAGACAGCAGGTGAGAAGACAAAAGGTTCTGGACTGAATGGTAGCAAGCATTACCCGAGTTCAATCTCCTCTTAATTTCCTCCTCAATCAGGTTTTGATTTGTTATAATTGTTCCCAAATATCTGAACTGTGCCACATTTTGAAAGTATCTGTTTTCTATTGTTATGTCATGATTTTGCCCTTAATTTTTGGTCATGAGACAGCAACATACACTTAGTTTTTTCTGTGTTTACTCCTAATCACTACACATGTAAATTACTTAATTACATATACCAGTTGTTTCTGTGTTTCTGTCCTGGTAAGATCGTTCAGAAGTCTATTTCACATTCTCATTCACAGTACTGAGCTCTGATGGTGAAATGTAAGCTTCAATAGCAGATTTTCTGCATTATATTTATCCAGAAAATAAATGATATAAATCACGTAACAGAAGGTTTCAACATAAACATACTAGTGTTCAAGTACCAGCTTTATCATCGACTTTTGATTTGGTGAACAAAGAGCACTCAACTGGGTCTTTCTCAGGGAATAAATATATCAGACAGAATATTGTGCTGATAGAGGAAAGGCCTGATGAGTTTGGAGAGAGATTAGGACACTCACCTCACGAATCCCAGAAATGAACATCTCAAAACGCATATATATTTTGATGATAACAGCATGAAGAATAACTAAGTTACAACTATGATCATATCAAACTAGAAAATTTCAAGTACATGAAGAAAGCTATTACAAGAGAATTAAATGATATTTTAGTATTTTAAGAGTAATGTACCTGTACACTGTACAGGTACACAGTCATGATTAAATGACTGATTTCATTTCATTATTGTCAAGAGCCCTCTTAGTGAACAAGACGCTGAAAAACAGTCTTTATGCATATTTTCCAAAATTTTTAACTCACTGTATATATATCAACTACCTGGACTTCCTCCTCAAACCTGTCAACCATAAAATAATTCTCATAGCTCATCTTTAGCTTAGTTCAGTGCCAAGATCGAAGTAAGTTCTGGCATCCCAATATTACCCACCTGGAACAAGATACTCCCAATTATGGAGGAGTCTGCAGCAGTAATGAAAAGAAGCAATAAATAATACCTCCTATCAGTCTCTCCAATTGGTTCTCCATCCCTATATACAAGTGAGCCCTGAACTCTTGCTGGAGGACCACAAGCCCTCCTGAATCCTGCAGGGAAGTCAATCACACTGATGTCTCCTCCCTTTGTTATGTCACTGCCACCCTTAAACTGCACATCTGTTTCATGATGTTTGCTGCTGGCATCTAGAAAACACAAACATAACATGGAGGTTATATCAGACTGTTTATGTATTTGTCTGTATGTCTGATGAAACCTGGCCTATTACATTTCACTATGGTTCATAGCAGAGGTTACAAAATTTCTCCAAAATTACGCGAAAATAGGCAAATGATATAAATACATGTATATAATCTCATCAACTGATATATTTTTTCATATTCTATACATTTACTGATGTGTGAGAGAATAATTTAAACCTCATTTCATGTTCATTAATTTGGGGGTTTCCTTCACTTTGATGTTCAATTTCAATGATCCCAAGCAAATGGATAATCTTAATGTTAAATTACATCTATTCAAGATTTTCTCCACTTCAGTGTTCCTCACTTTATCATTGCTCTCAAAAGAAACCATAAATGGGGGTTTCAAAGTGTTTCTACTACTTCTTGTGAGTTATTCTATGATGCTCTGGGTATCTAGACTATATAGCATTGTATCGTAGGATGACTAATGAAGTGAAAAAGATTTCAAAAGAAACAATCATGGTCTAACCTGCATACTATCCAACCATCTGATTGAAGAGGAAAACCATGACAAAGTCAGTCAAGACAGTCTGTGTCCTAGCCGGCGTTCAAACTGAGCACCTACTGAAGAATATAAGTAGATAGCGTTACCATTAGGCTAACATTATTCATGCCTATACTGTTAATTTGTTTATTTACCAATGGAGTTTATGACTCTCTCATAGTGTAATGTGCCAATTGTTGATTAGATCTGTCAGCGATGATCCTGACAGTAATAAAAGAACTACAAGAGTAATGAGAGATGAAAAATCACAGGGAATTCATTTGGTACCCATGTATACCAAGCTCCTTTCTAGTAACTCTTATGAGATGTGGGTTATCCATGTGTTGGTACCCAGTCCATATGTGAGATCAACTTTTATTCTCAGAAATCCCATATAAATTGTTCCTACATTTTTTTTTCAGTGAGACTTTAAGAGTAAAATAAGAACAAAGTAAAGCTGGTCATGGTAAGAAACAATGCAGAGTGTTATCCATATTTATATTAGTGTACCTGTGGGCACATAAAATTTACAAACTCAGAGCAGATCAGTTTGAGCTGAATCCATCTGTTAGTTGCAAACCTTGTGACTCTGCCATAGCTAAAATGGTCAGATGCTGGCATTTCACAACAGTGGTCTGGATTCATATCCAGGGTATTCCATATGGGTTTTTTTTTAATAAGGTTTCAATTCTTCTCTGAATACTTCAGTCTTCCCTTGCCAATAATCATTCCACCAACTTTGCATTCATCCATAACCCTAAAAATATATGTTAGACCTAAACAGTCACCTTGTGACCATAATCCCTGAAACTCATTTCAGAATTTCACTGGTACTTAACCATATACAGAAGATGGAAATTTAGTTTAGCTATAGTGTGTGCTAGCCACATGAAGGTTATCTATAAATTAAGATGGTGTGATTAATTTGGAATTTGCTTGATAGTCTATTTTGCAATTTGTAAATGTCCTCCAAAATAAAAACGATAATGTTCTTAAACCAGGTCAGTTATTTTACATACAAAATGATGTTATCAAATGTAGATTTAAACCAAATTTATTCATACAGATTTCTAAGCATATGAGAAATATCATCATCATCAGTAATCTGTCGGATGACAGGTCCACAGTCTCTTCCAAAACAATTCCTCCACTTAATGTGATCTAGAGCTTTCTTCTTCAAATGACAGTATCCTCTTCTGTCCCCAAGGTCATCCAGTATCTTCTTACATCTTCTTCCTTGTCTTCTTGTCACTTCTATCCGCCCCTCTATCTTTCCTTCAATAACTTCTTTTAGAAGGCAGTTTCTGCGTAAAACATGACCAATCCAATTAGCCTTCCATTTTCTTATTTCGTGTAGGATATTCCTCTGCTCACTGACTCTAATTAACACTTCTTCATTTCTCATATAATTGGTCCAACTGATTTTCTCCATCCTTCTCCAACACCACATTTCAAAACTTTCCAGATGTTTCTGATCTACTGTCCTAAGTGTCCATGTTTCAGCCTCATATAGAGCTATGCTCCAAATGTAGCATTTCACTAGTTTCTTCCTCAAATTTAAGTCCAATTTGCTGGTAAAAAGATTCTTCTTCTTGCTAAATGCAGCTTTTGCCATGGCAATCCTGGATTTAATTTCACAAGTACACCTTCCATCATCTGTTAACAAGCTACCCAAATATTTAAAACATTTCACATTCTCCAGTTGTTTTTGGTCTATCTTTATTGTGACTGGGGTTGGTTGTCTCGAAATTTTCATTACTTTTGTTTTCTCCACATTCATTTCCATGCCATAGCACCTTCCAATTTCAATTAGTCTATCAATCATGCCCTGTAGCACAGTTTCTTCCTTAGCCATTAACACAAGGTCATCTGCATATTTCACAGTTTGAATAATTTGCCCTCCTACTTTGAAGTCACCGAGCCCATCCAGAGCTTCCTTGGTAAGGCATTCGCTGTACAAGTTGAACAGAATTGGTGATAAACAGCATCCTTGTCGAACTCCTCTTCCAATCTGCACACTTCCTGTCTCCCCCCTGTCCAGTCGTACTCTAACTTTCTGATCCATGTACAATTTGCTAATCAATCTTCTTTCATGCCAATCGATACCTGTTTCTTTCAGGATCTGCATTAATTTGGTCCAGTTTACCCGGTCAAATGCCTTCTGCCAGTCTATGAAGCAAACACACAGTTCTTCATCTATCTCCAAAGTTCGTTCCGCTATAATTCTCATCATCCCAATTGCATCCCTGGTTCCTTTTCCTCTTCTAAATCCAAACTGATCTTCTCCAAGTACATCCTCTATTTTCCTTTCAATTCTTCTTTTAAGTATCTTTGCTATTATCTTTGCTGTATGTGCAATAAGGCTTATTGTGCGATGGTCGCTGCATTTTGTAGCTTTTGTCTTTTTCTTTAAGGCAATCATTGTCACTTCTGTAAAGTCCTTAGACCACTCCCCAGCTTCATATATGGTCTTCATTAATTTTGTCAGTGTTTTCAAACCACCTTCTCCCAGTAACTTGAGCACATCTCCAGGTACATCATCATCTCCTGTAGCCTTTCCCTTCCTCATTTCCTTGATAGCTTTTTCCACCTCACTCTGTAAAATATATGGTCCTTTCTCGTCTGTATCTACTTCTTCTTCCGGTTCCAAAGCCCCTCCTTCTGATCACTGTTCCTACTTAAGCTCATCACTGTTATATGAAGTAATTACTCAGCCTATACACTGATATGGATGAAGATGGAAGTGGACTTTAAGTGCAGTACACTGATGTAATAAGCACACTTGTATTTAATTTTCAATAGTAAAAGAGCCAAGATTTATGCTCCAACCTATTTAATGATATTTTAAAAAGTGATTATATAAAGAATTATAATAGACAACAAACTGATCAAGAACTAATGAGCTGTTGTAATTACTTTGCAATGTGGAATTACATTCATACACTTGCCAAACCAGACTCAATTAATAATAAATTTACTATAAATAAGCACTTACTGCTATATGTTATGATAGGCAGAATGTGGTGCCTGCATGCCGGTACACGAGGACGCAACTCTCCCAGAATACATTCTATGGGTTGGCCTGTTGACTTGCTGTAGTCATTGTCACACTGAAATGTTACTGACGAGCCATTTGCTATGGTGAGTCCTGCCCGGTAGCCAGACAGATACTGTCCATTGGTTATAACCGGCAACTCACATGGTGCTAGGGACATATAATTAGAATATCATGTTTTCTTCTCTTGTGTGGTTTACATTACTCTGATGGTATATGAAGGCAAGGTAAAGGTAAAATCCCTGTAACAGGCTGTGAAGGCTAATAGGGTTGTGAGATGCTGAGGCTCCCACATTTTCTGTAGGCTCTCAGATGGCAGTAAGTTTGTCAGCCTTAAACATCAGCCACCCTTTACCCCAGGAAGATTCGGTGACCCCAGGACAATAGTATGGCTGGAAGGATTAGGTCCATTGAAAAAATGTTGTATTTTAGCGTCCTGTTGCACTGATTTTCATCCATGATATGTATACAGTGGCCGTCTTGTAGTGCACTCAATTTCACCTGTTACTTCACGACATGTTTCGGCAACATAGTGCCATCATCAGGTGCCCTAATTACGTTAATCTATTGCATTGCTTGCCCTCATATGTCTTCACAAAACCATTTAAAAAGTATTTAAAAAGTGTGTATTTGTCAACTATAATAAATTTACACTCACCAAAACTTGTTAAGATTATTTATCTTATGTGTCTTAATTAAAACTTGCGTGTGGTTCATTCACTGTGGGGTCGTTTTTCTTATTTTCTGTGTAAGCCGTGTCTTGTGACTATGTTGCCGAAACATGTCATGAAGTAACAGGTGAAACTGAGTGCACTACAAGGCCACTGTATACATACCATTGAAAAAATCGACCTCATCAGGACTTGAACCCATGACCTTCTAGCTTGTAAGATAGTGCCTCAACCAACTATGCTGCCATGTATGTATTCTTTTACAGTGTCTGACACTGTAACAGTGAGTGCAGAATTATCTTTAAATCACTGTTGTCGCCATAATTATTTTTAATATATATCAGGTTCCAAAATTGAAAAAGATAGTCAATTGCAGCAGGAACCTAACAAAACATTAAGTGATTTAAAGAATTACTCAAGAGTAATGCATCCCAGCGTCAGGTGTCTGGTAATATGTGAGAAGGTGATGGAATGCGATTTTGTATACGAGTTGGGACCACTGGTCACCACTGATGACTTTCCGCCTATAATGAGGCAATTAGTTCAGTACCAACAGTGCTCCTTTCAAACACACGCAGAGTATTGTCTTCCGACATGCAAAATTTGCTCATAAAGGTAAGGTAAGATAAAGTTACCCTCGGGGCTTAATTAATTAAGCACCACATTATGAGGATGCATGGGGGGGGGAGGTGGAAGCATAGTTTGCACTAAATGGAGATGAATAATCAGTTTCATGCTCTTGCCACTTTACTTCTGGCGAAACAGACCCCAGTGCCAATTGTGTAGGAGGCTGGGTGGGCCCCAGAGCCAGTCTGGACATTACAGAAAAGATAAAAATCTCTTGCCCCTACCAGGAATTGAATACCAACTCTTTGGTCATCCAAACCATAGCCTAGTCACTATACTAACTGTGCTTTCCTGGTTTCCAAGGTCTGTTCATAATTGAAAATTAACAGCTTCCAGATCATATATACACATATAAGGGGGGTTTTAGGAGACATGAACCTTTTCTCCTGTCCCACATAAGACTGCAGTTACAAGGTTACATCATGTAAACAAACTAACAATGCTGTCTGGATTGCATGATATCTGAGTTATTCTGTGCACTGCAACTAATTACAATATCAGACCATGTAGTCATTCCCATTTGTAAATGGCCAGTTTCCCAATTCACACACACTGCTCACATAAAATGTGACTAAAATATTCTCAATTGTTCCTTTCTAACATACAAAAGACCATAAGCATAATCTTCATTGCAAAAGTTCTGAATTGCAATCTGTTTTATTTTATAACAATGAGGTGCCCTGCTGTACACCATTTACCTTCATCTTAGCTGAACTGAAATCAATAATACACGGGGTATATTCTGTGGCTACAAATTAAAATGATTTAATTACAATGTCCATTCTTCCTTTTATGTGTGTGCAGAATATGACAGCAGAAGTAAAGAATATAACTGGGGGTGGGGGACAAAAGCAACTGCAGCTATAAGTGAGAATTTAAACCATAATGGGGAACAACAGACTAATAATCAAAACAACAATTTCAAGTGGAAATTCAAATATATGATTAATATTTACTACTTCTTAATACGTGTATACAAGGTCATAAGAAAATAATTCCAGGATTTTATTGCTTAATATATCAGTAAATTCAAGACACGTGATCATGACGTTTGTATTGGAATGAGAAAAAGAACTCTTTAGGTTTTATTCGTACATGTCCTGTGCAGCAGTGATTGCTGATGCACATTATTAATTGCACAGTGATATTTTGTTAAGTTCAAGTTAAATGTAATTGATGACAATGAAGACTGTTTACAAGAGGGCGATGTTTATGGTTGAAGCCACATTTCATATCAACAGCTGCATCAGTCATTACAACTGTGGAACTTCGGGTTCACAGAAACTGAATAAATTCCTTGAATATGTATGTGATACCCTAATGGTGAACATGTGATGTGGACTACTGCATTACTGTGTGGTAGGGCCCTATCTTTCTGTGGGAAGAATCACTATTGGGGACATTTATCAACATTTGTTACAGCAGTCAGTTTTCCTTCAAGTTGATGACATTGAATGAGAAAATGAAAATGGTGTTATTTTAAAACAAGATGGTGCCCTACCTCATTTCAGTCTACATGTTCGCCTTGCTCTGAATGCTGGGCTCCCAAATTACTGGATTGGATGAGGTGGATCAATAGCCTGGCATCCAAGCAGTCCTGATCTAACACCATTTCACTTTTTCATGAGAGGATATGTGAAAAATACTGTCTATGCTGTAAATATTCGTGACTTGGACCACCTATGAGGAAATCAGTATAGCTGTAGCAATGATCATAATGGACACGCTCCACTGTATCTGGATGGGAACAGAGTAGTGCTTCACTGTCTGAAGAGGTAAAAATGGTGGTCACATGGAGACCCATTAAGGTTTGACATTAAATTTTGAGTTTCTATACATTTTATATATATATATATATAAAAGATGTCCACATTTCCTTCCATATTTAAATAGATATGAAATGATGAAATCCTGGACATACGTTTCAACATTCCTGAATAAAAATTCATACCTCCAAATTACTGTATGAAACAACTGCGGGTTGAATTTCAAAAGAAGTTATTTTGTTCACTGATATATTGGGTTTTTGGACTTTATCCATCGTCCTGGTTTTTAAGATAACTAATAAAATGAACTAATTGGTCCAGTGATTGAGGCTAGCTCTTTCTAACGGACCCAACAGAATAGGTGTTTTCCTTCACCTGAGGACGGAAACAGATCCAGTTTCCGAAACGTCGTGTTTTTATTAGTTATCTTAAAAACCAGGACGATGGATAAAGTCCAAAAACCCAATATATCAGTGTGTTATACACCCTCGTCAGAATCCTATAGTAACTACAAGTTATTTTGTTTTACTGCACCCAACAATATTTACAGTGGAAAAAGTTAATGTAACTGATTAATTTCCCTTACATGTTAGTTTAGTTTGATTTCACTTGCCTGGTGTACATTCTGGAAAAGATGTTATAGGCCACTCGCCATGCCAGCAACGGAGATTACTTGGCCCTTGGACATTAAATCCATGAGCACATGAGAATTCCACCACCTCCCCATTTTCCACTGTTGATGTCTCATTTAACAAAGAATTCTGACCTCCTTCTCTTGAAGATAGCTTATAGACACCATTTTCTGTCACTGGGATGTGACAAGGCACTGTAATAAAGGAAAGTATCAATACCATACTACTCTGAGTATAAGACACATCCAGTTTTTGAATGTGGATTTTAGGAAACAAAAATTAGAAAGGTGCACATTCCTCAAATTTAAGACACTCCTCAATTTTTCATTGGGAAAAATGTGTAAAATGTATGTCTTATATTCAAAGTAAAATGGTAATTTCTCAAATGCAAGACAAGTTCCAGCAATGATTATCATTATGATGTAAGTTTAGACTGGGACTCAGCCTCCTATACAATGAACAGCAAGGCCTTTCTCCCCAAGGGTGAAGAAGATGGGCATGAAGCTAATCACACTTCTCCATCTAGTACTATGGTTATACATCCACTTGGCACATCTCCATAGCATGATAATTAAGCACATGGGAAACTTCATATAATAAGATGAATGTCATTCTTCATCAGCACTATACTAAAGAACTATTTCACTCCTGTGTGATAAGCTGAAGATGTCTGCCAACATTTCAAATAAAGTACCATCATCAAGGCGAAAAAGATTTTCCTCAGTCTTACCATGAATCTGTGGGACAGCACCTTGAAATAGGCCAAAATCACCTCCGCCCAAGTCCTTACTTAACCGCTGTTCATAATGATCTTTCTTGTCTCATTTGACACTATATAACCTCTGCAACTGATACAGCATAATTAAATGACTGAAGATTTAATCAACCGTACTCGAAGGTGGTGACTAACAGATTACCTAAGCAACATGCATGTGATACTGGACCATACAGCTGTTGGTGGCTTTTCCACAGCCACATGGTATATTACAGTTATGTGGATTAGGCTGGCTCTCAGTCACTTCCTCATGGAGATGGAGGCCTCTATTTCACTGAAAGACTGACAATGCAGCTCACTAGGAAATGCTGTCATTTTACCAAAATGAAAACATCCATTCATGAGAGTTTTAAGACTGATATGCTCATGGAAACTGGCTTATACTTCATAATTGCAACTTCATCTAGAATTACACATAAATAATGTGGTAGCTATTTGTTCATCATTTGTGGTCAGTGTGGATCAGGCAGGAAAGGAGTTACAGAAATATTTATAAGGGTGGTTCAAAGGTGACATGGGCTTCATCTCTTTACAAAAGGTATACACATATGCCAGAATCCTCAAACTCTCACTCTTTTCAATAAATTCTTTTGCACTAACATATTTTTTGCATGAATTTTTTGCATAGTCCTGGCAAGTTATTGCTGCCAGCAGCATAAACGGTTTTATCCTGACTGCCTAGCCAGTTCATCATACCGCATTTGAGTTCATTAGTTTGAAATTTCTGTACTCCTAATGCACCTTTATTCTTCCACAGAAGTGAAAATTATTGGGGACTAGGTCAGGGCTGTAAGGTGGTTCGGTTAATGATTCCTCAGCAAAAAGTTGTCAATGTTAACTTTGTCTAAATTTGCTGTACATGGACAAGCATTGTCATGTCGACATTTTTTCAGGGTTTCTTCTTCTGAACTGCTCGATGGACATCTTTGTGAAGCAAATTATTATGATAATGTGAATTAATTATTACAATGTGTGGAAGAAAATCAATGTAAATCATTTGTTCTGAGTCCCAAAACACATTTGTCATGATCTTGCCAGCTGACAGCTGTGTCTTGAATTTTTTGGGTGGTGGAGATCCTTTGTGATGCCATTCAATGCTAGACTGCTTTAACTCTGGAGTGAAATAGTGCCCCCATGGCTCATCACAGGTCATATATAAGTCACTATGCGCTCTAGGAATATATTTCCCTCCAATTCAAACCGGTGCAGATGTTTGGCAGACACAGCAACACGCTGCACCTTCTGGTTAAACATTAACATCTACAGGACCCGCTGGGCACACAATGTCTCAAAACAATAAATATCCACGGATAAGTGTTTCAAAACTTCCAACATTTATGCCACTGTTGAATGCAATATCATGCAATGCATTAGCCTCTTTTAAAATATCAGCTTTGTGATGCAGAGAATGTTCACATCACACAGCTGATGGCTGAACATGAATATGCAGTAGGTACAAGACTTTTCATATCCTTCAGAAAACTTATTGCACCAATGACAAGACACTTGCAGATAACAGGGTCACTTCTCTACACTGTGAATTTAACCTTAAAACGCCCGACTTCGAAGTGGTAAACTTGAGCTGACCGGAGTTTATTTAAATGCCCGCTGCTGGTGCTCTTTTAAATGCCCGTTGCTACTCTGCGTTTAAACGTCCGTTCCTGTTAGGCGCTTAATCAATTTTAAGCGTTGTGTTTAGAAATTTTGTATCTATCTCAATTTTTATGATAAATGGATGGAATTAACTTTGTTTATATCAGCAAAGAACATAGTGTCACGTATTATAATGGAAGATTTGAAATTTTTAATACAAAGTGTTATACCCTATTATCAATTTTTTGTGTTTTAATTTTGATGCGCATGCAAAAATGGTTTCCCAGTTTTTCACAGAGTTGTTCTGCATTATAAACTCATTTCTGTTTGTAACACTTGACAAATTTTAGCAGTCCCTGGTGTCATAAAACAGATGGAAGCAATAAAATCATTTGGTCTTCTGCTAGCACTTCTTACACTCTTTGGATTTTTGAATCTTTTGACTGAAGGACAGAAGAATGAAAGCATGGCTATTCAAGAGAAAGCTAGAGCAGTCCCTTCCTCAGTGCTAAGACCTTCCGTTAGAACTGCAAAAGATTATTGCCCCTTCTATTTGAATGAACAGACAGCTGCATCGTGGCTGAGATACAGAGTGTGATCTGTTTTGTGTGCATTTGTAGTGAAATCGAATACTGTAGTATAATTTCAGCCTATATATATATCAAGAAGGTAACAACAAAACAGGTATATACACCGAATTTTACAATATATTTTTAACATACCTATCTGCAGAATCTGCAATAAAATTACTGGAACGTGGATAAGTTTTGGCATAACTCATACGTATATTTTTATTTGCTGTTGTTCATTTAGATACTATTTTAATTCCTCTATTAGGGTTTTACTCAAGTCTGTCTGGTAATTAATAAATTTAAAAATAAATATTTAGGACTGTGCATGGCTTCTACTAGCGGCATGTGCGCGTGCTTCCACCAGCGGAGTTTAAATGCCTGACTGGCCAAAACGGGGTACTTTGGTCACGACGACCTTACTCACCACTGGTACAAACGGGGCACTTCGGCACTTAAAGGTTAACCTATTAAGAATTTCTACTGGTTTCACTTTCTCTTGCACTAGGAATTTAATGATACAGCATTGTTCTACACTAGGAGAGAAAAGGTGTGAGGCCAACTTGCACTATCTATAATGTACAGAAGTGATGCACATGGCCACCTGCCAGGTAGTGAGCATGGTACTGCCACCAACTGTCTACAACAGACGTTCATTTTTCTGGTGCCTATGTCTTCAGAAAAAATTAAAGTCCTGGTTAACTATGAACCACCCTCATACTAAAAATGCTTATAATGCCTAATATGGGCTAGAAGCAATATTCACTAACTTACCAGCTTTTGTTAAGTTACTTAACTGAATAAGCCAACCATAAATCCATAAATATGAGATATCCTTTCAATAGCTGCAGGTCTTTGTGAACCCAGGGTAGTTCAGTCAGTATAGCAACTAGGTTACGGGTGGACAAATGGGGAATTTGTGTTTGATTCCTAGCAGGGATACGAGATTTTTCTTTTCTCCACAACATACAGATTGGTTCTGATAACCATTTAGCCTCCTATCTAATGGATACTGGAGGTTCATTCCCCAGCAATACAGTAAAGAGTAGGAAATTGGCCTCTCACTTCCATCTAATGGCAGCTTTACCTCCACTCCTGCATATGTCTTCATGGTGTGGTGCATAATGAAGCAGTGATAATTTAAACTTTGCCTCTGCTAGATCATTTACGTGTATATATACACAGATGGCATGGTTACTGCTCATTTCTCTCTCACTACATTAAAAGAAAAAGAAAAGCCTTCTTACAGATTAGACACTCAGGTTTGGCAGGTTTCCATTGCCCTCTGACACATTTTGCTGTGACATTGGCACCTATGTTGAGTCCATATCCCTTTCCACAGGAAACTTTAACAACAGTCCCAGGTGAGAATGTCTGATTAGGATCTCGTCCAGCTTTAACAACTTCTATGTTTACAAATGGCTCCTCAGAGATTACTTCACATGGTCCAGCTGTGAATAGAGTTTTTACATTAATAACAAAATAATGAACACTTTCATATCAATGTTGACCCTTTGCTTGTGCATTTAAATGGGCTGTCAGTAAATATGGAGCAGTATTTGAAATCTTGACTATGGGCTTTTGGCCTACCATTTTCTTGGAACTCAAAGTATTGATACACTAAGTAACTATATACTGACAGTAAACAACTGTCATAAGTTAGCTAAATAATAAACAGAAAGACAAGTGAAGATAATGTCAGAGATAAAAGAAAATTTTTATAGGTGAGACAGATTATTGTCAAGTATGGACCATCATTTACTGTCACGTGTATCACCTGACATTCCCACACAACAGATTAAGCTCGTAAAAATATTTGACAGCACTAAGTTATTTGTACAGAAAAAAATATTAATAGTACATGACAATGTGTCATGAATTTATAAGACATCAGAAATAGTAAAGCAATCGTTAAAATTACCGGACATCTTAGGAACATATTGCAAAACATGGTACACAACTTGATTTTGGAATGGTGATAGTCTGTCTTCCAATGAGAAGCATGAAATATAAACTAGATATGGAGTGCACAGTCCATTTCTGAAGTAAACTAAATCAGAATATTTTATAATTGATCCTTAAGAATATGTTATTCCAGGAGGTTTTATGCCTGGAGGCCATACTGCCATTGTAAAACAGATTAACACAAGCACTTTGATCTGAAGATCAAAAAGCATAAACACTCCTAATTTCAAAGTTTTTTTTTGACACTGGTGTAACACATTCTTTACAACTAGTATTTTGGACTTAATCTATCATCCATGGTTTAATGAACTTGGATGATGGGTAAAGCCCAAAATAACAGTTTTAAACAATCTGTCATGTCATCATTAAAAGAGCTTTCATGAAACTGGATGATACACAAAGTCCTAAAGGGAAGAGTTACACAAGTGTTACCATTACACTTATGCAGAAAATCTCTGCAAATTTTTATTTAAACTCAGTACTGCAACCAGTGATGTTTTTTACAAACTGATTTACCTGAATGGGAAGGTGATGTCAAATATTACCTTTCCCCTTGCCTCCCCTTTTCTTTGCTTTGCGTCCTTTCTTGTTACGCCTCCGTCGATCTCGCTGCCACAGCTGCTGACGTTGATTTTGTGTCATGAGCAGTGCTCGCTTGGCACGGAGTGATCGGCTCCAGCGAAGGCGTGGGTGCATACCAGGCACACATCTGTATATTTAAAATAATACCAAGGGTAAAACAAACTTAAAATCTAAAAATATACCATTCTAAAAACATTATCAAAGATGTGTTGTGACAATTAAACACAAAATTTATATTTTTGATGTTGTAACTGAAATTATGCATGACAGACAAAACTTCTGACCATCCACAGGTAAGAATATATGAAAATGAGCTATACGAAAAGAAGCTGGTAAGACCTCTGAAATGATGGAAGGATACTGTTTTGTAATGCTGGTAACAGGTCTCAACAGGCCTAATACTGGAAAGACAGAGGATGAAGATAATGATAACAATTACATTTACAGTTATCGTGCTGCGTGAAACACAACCACACAGGAGCGTATGGGCCTCACCTTGCCATTTTTCCAGTCTATGTGCCTTGTGGGTGTGCATTTCCCTACGATTATCTTTAATCCCCAGGCTTACCTTTGATCCTCACACTTACTGTTTGGGAAGACAACTTATAAGTTATGTTTGGCTGCCTTTCTAATATTGTTTTGATTTTTAATTGCCTCTTGGACGAAGCAGCTAGGCTGCATGGCACCCCTGCCAAGGTGAGTTTTTGGTTTGTCAAAAGCTGAGGGTTTTCACTTTTGACATAGTAGACGACATGGAAGCCCCAGTGGGTTTCTTAACTTACTCTTCGATTACTGATTATGCTACGGCCTTTGTTATTTACAAAACTCAATATTTGCTTATCAGCCATTTGGTTATTTTATTTGAAGATGAGCAACATTCCTATTACATTCTTTGTTCAATTATGCACAACTTTTCAATTCATTAGCTGACCAGTCTTCCAATTTCTGCTGAACTTCCATGCCTGATCATGTCCTAATCCTATCTGAGCCACACCAGATAAGGCTATTTACAGATATGACGAGTAAGAAATTGAGAAAAGAAAAGATGGGGAAGATGCATTTTAACATCTTAAATTTAATAAGACATACTACAAAAGGAAACTACTGTACTGAAATTATCACTATAGCATCTACTTACCTGGGTAGTTGTTTTGGACTCCATCTTCCTCCAATACATGTTGCACCAGGTGGCCCATCAGTCAAAACATAACCACGCTCACATTCATACATTATTTGTTTGTTGTTTGTCACCTTTCGCACATACGGTCGGTAATCATACACACCCATATTCCCAACCAGCATCACACGTCCATTCTCAATGTAGCCAGGAAACGGACAGTAAACTACAAAATAAAGTTTTACAGCTTCTTAAATAATGTTAGGCAATGAAATTTAATGCTGGCCAACTAAAAGTTTTAGTTTCTTTACTGCTATCCACATAATTAAATGCTTCTATCATACAGTCTTTATCTTATCCTGTAATGCTTCTAGAAATTGTGGCATGATTTGATGCTCTTTTTAAAATTGATAATATAAAAACATTATGCAACAATAAAGCTTTTCTGTTCTTGGAGAGCAATACTTTACATATATAAATGGCCTTGCTATTATCTCAGAACATTTATACTTCGATTTATTTGTTTTTAATTTATTTAAACTCACTGCCAGTGACTCAGACTGTATAACACCGAATGGCAGGACAATAGTAATGCTGAAATGGAAAGGCTTTGGAAGGAATCAGTTATGACCCAATTTAAGTTACTGTCTTGGCGTTCTCATAGACACACTGAGAAAAATCACGAAAACCTCAATCAGAATAACCAGCATCTTAGAACAGATTCAAATCAGGCACCTCCAGAATACAAATAAAAATGTTATTGCTTGAGAGCCAACTTGCTAAGTACTTCAGAACACTCTTCACTTCTTGACCAAGAACACAATGGGGAACTATTTTATGTCCATTTTAAAAACATTGAAAAAGTTGAATATGTTCTGGGACATTTTCAAATTGTTAAACCCTATATTCACTACTCATAATGCCTGTGTTGAAATCTTTTCTTCTGTTACTTAATGAACTGTAATGAACTGTTAACTATGCTGTAATGAATATAAAGTCTACAATTATTAGTGCACAACGGCTTTCAGACTATGTAAAGATTACATCTCATCTCAATTAAGTTCAGAATAAAGACTTCAGCTTGAATCACAGAAATAGTCAAAATGTAATTGGCTGTATGTATTATTTCAATCAATACAATGTAATTATTTTTACATTGTCCCTCTTATTTTGTAACTTAGTTCAATTCTGGTACCAGCTATGTTCGTACTTCTTTATAATTGTAATTATTTTGCTCAGTGCCTGGGGTATGGCTGTAACATTCCTCTTCTTTTACTGTTTACATTTCTGCAAGCTACCTGTTCCTTGAAAAGTAGTGAGGTTTTTAGGGCAGTGATTGTTTACATTGAGGTATTCTGGACTGTGACACCAAATAGTCTTGTAGGTAGATACCGACATTTTGGAATAATAAGCTTCCTTCATCTGCAGGATTCAAGTGGGTAGGGTGAAGAACTGAATCAGTTAGGTAGACAGATTGCAAGGGAGGTGAACATTTGAACCCAGAGAAGGAGGTGACAGTACATGGAGCCCGGTCTGGGCCAACAGTAATGTTGAACAGGGCTACGACACTTTTCTAGGCCATGACATTATGAAACAGGACTGCAAAGTTGCTTGTCACTTGCAGGATTATATACAGTCAATAATACAAAAAAAATATTGATTAGTTCTTAGTGTTACTCCACTTATTTACTCTGATGGCTGAATTAACACCTTCCAGTTTGTGTGGTTGGCTATTTTGACAGCTGTGTAAAGCAACAATATTTTAGTGCTGCACAGATGCAGTATATTTATACACAAATTATGAGACAAATCTGAGACGATTACTTTAAAATTTCGCTAATTATGTATAAATATTTTGAATGCACAGACCTAAACAGCATTCCACTGGGTTCAATGGATGCAGAAGTAGATGCCACCTATTATTACATGTTATGTTTCCTCCTCCAGCTAGTGCCAAGGTCAAGAGAATGTGGATCTATACATCCACTCCCCCATATGCCTTCATGGCATAGTGTTTAATTAGTTAAGCACAGGGACAACTTTACCTTTTTATGTGTCATGTTCTCTGAAACTGAGAGAATAGTATATGTCTTATACCATGAATGGTGTATGTTCCATATGTTCTGGTAAAGTCCTTAAACATACTGCACTTAGATATATATTTTAATTCATACCTTGCTAACAGACTTTTAGACACAGCACACATATTTAGTAAATTGCCAGAATAAACTGAAAACTGTGGAAGAAACAATTCAAATGAAAGAAAGGTTGTAGCTCACCCTCTTGACAGTATGGTTGAACATCAGTCCAGTTGCCATACAAACATTTTGTGATATTTGCCCCCCGAAGAGTGTAGCCATCCTTGCATTTGAATCTTGCTCGCATTCCATGCTCTGTTTTAGGTGCAATTACCATACCATTACGAGGAGCCTTAGGCATTCGTTTACACCGAGCTAGAAATGACACATCAGCATTAGAAGGAACACATGTTAACACTTTGCAGACCAGCAATTTAAATATTTAAATCACCCTGGGGACTGGCATTTTTAAACCTACTACCCTAACTTGTGCATTGTTCAATTTAAAAATTAATATAAAATCTCCTAATTAATTTTATGAACTAAAATTTTTGGACAACACTTATCAATGCCCCTAGAAGTGCTTGAAAGTGTGATATTTCTGGAAACATTCCCCTTTGTGAAGTGGCGTTACACAGAACCTGCAATGTAGACAGTCATACTCCCTTTTTTGTGAACTGTGCAAACATGGCATTGCCTAGAAGGATGCTTCCCCTTGGAATGTTCACTCTTCTCAATTTTCATGAGGGTATGTTTCTGTATATTACCTGAGAGTCGCCCAGGGGTGTCCACATGAGGCCTATGTGGGTGTCTGACTCTGGTTCTGCCGCCACCATCTGGTCTGTAGCCCAGGCCTTTGCCATATTCATCAGAAATGCTTTGTATTTCAATTTCAAATCAGGGTTTAGACTTTTGTAAACCAAAAATGAATTGAAAATGGCACAATTTATAAGTCGCAAGGCAACTTTCTTTTCCACTTTATTGTTTATCTAGGAAGAGAATAATAGGCCAAGTATTGATCGGCTCTATCAACTCCCTTCATGAACATATTATACTCAGAAATACAGATAGGCTTCTTCACTTGTCCATTTCTCCTTTGAACATCAACCATGCTCGAATTGTGAATTGTGGAAATCATATTCACAACACGAGTATCCTTTCAGGACTGAAGAAGAATATCCCCCTTCTTCTTGAATGTGGTTTCACCACCTTTCAGGGAGTTACCTTCCTTTTTCAGATCTGCAGGAAGGCCTCTCCTCATCCTAATTGTTCCACAAACACGTACTTTTCTCGAAAGAAGGTATTCTGCAGTTGCCACACTGTTATAATAATTGTCTTGATAGTCATGGTAATTTTGATCAAGATAGGGCTCTGTAACCGCACCATTGAAATCCTTCCCTCCCCCCCTCTTTTATTTCAGTAGCTGATAGACTTAATAATAAGATTTTGATTTGTTTCATTTTGGTCTGTCACACTAACAGTTACAATTATAAAAGACAAGTCCGTCCAATGTGACTATTTCAGTTTTCTCACTTGATGATTCACTAGCCTTACATGTTTCGATCCATTTGGATCATCTTCAGAGGCACCAAACACTTTTTTGAAACCACTATCACAACAGTTGTCAATCAAATACACATGTAATGTCCAAGTACACAATGTTCCATCTATCAGTCACAGCAGCCTTTCTGGTTATATAAATATTTAAAGTTGTTTTAAAGTTTTAGAAACTTTGTTAAAAATTAAAATTCATAAACCATACGGTTCATGTCAATAACCTCTGTTGTCTCTCTGTGTATACACAGCACAGTGGGCCAAGACATCATAAAGGACAATATTAAGAATCTCCCTACTCAAGTTACATAGGCGGCACAACATCGGCCACCTTGAAGAGAGACGACAGAGGTTATTGACACGAACCGTATGGTTTATGAATTTTAATTTTTAACAAAGTTTTTAAAACTTTAAAACAACTTTAAATATTTCTATAACCAGAAAGGCTGCTGTGACTGATAGATGGAACATTGTGTACTTGGACATTACATGTGTATTTGATTGACAACTGTTGTGATAGTGGTTTCAAAAAAGTGTTTGGTGCCTCTGAAGATGATCCAAATGGATCGAAACATGTAAGGCTAGTGAATCATGAAGTGAGAAAACTGAAATAGTCACATTGGACGGACTTGTCTTTTATAATTGTTAATAATAAGAATTTATGAAGAAACAAAGGTTTAAGACACACTGTAAGAACAAGGAATAGGCGATGAGCAGATAGACCAAACTTGAGCGGACAAGGACATCTGCTAGTCATTGCGCCCAAGCATCTGGTGTTATTTTCCAAAAGGGCAGAAATTGATACTTCAAGAAACCCCACTGGGTTTTTTTAGAAATTGAGAATTAGACTTGCAGCGGCAAGACACTTTGAGAATTCGAGGAGTGACAGTTTCTACCAGCCATAAGTCAAAAGTGGGAGTGCCAGGAGATCATTAGCGACCCCTCATTAGTTGCATCGCTGTCAATTTCGCCGTTTGGTCTTTTAGGGCGAAATTCCCTTAAAATAATCTGTCATTGGCCGGAACCAAAATTAAGCCAACTCCCCTTATTTGAATCAGCCTATCAGGGAAATTAGGAGGAGAGGAGAATAGGCAGATACAACTCACTTAAGACCTCTGCCTCGGCAGAGAGTTCAGTCTAAGACTTTAGTCGTCTATCAACTTTTGAACTTGGTGGAGGCAAACCCCGCATCACACGTGCTAAAAGATAATTCTAAGAAGTACAAAATTTTGCTCTCATAACGACTCATATTAAGATTTAGCTTAATCAACAAGAGCGCGTCACAAAGGAATCTGGCGAGTTGATCGAGTGCATTTTAGTGTATGTGTAAAACCAGCTGCTTGTAAGCTGAAACTAAATCAGATTGTGAGAATTTATGCAGCCGAGTGTCTTTAAGAACAACAATAAAGTGTTGTGGTGGTATGGTGAATTGTGTTAATTAGAGGTGCTCCACCCTCACTTGTCTGAGCCTGACCTGTATCCGACCTGAAGAGAGACTCATCTCCACTGTCTAGCCAAACCCACCGTCAGCTTTCACATGCTCACTCCTTCCCCCCCCCACTTTACTATGAACCGTAAACAGTCTCTAGCTGTTTGCTGGCACCCACACTATCAGATCCCATCATGAAATCCAACCCCCAATAATCTCAATGGAAGGAAGAAGTGGTGGAGCTGGTTCAAGGCAAAACCAGCTATGACCTACCAACTTCAGAAGTGGCAACACCAGGTAGGACAGCAGCAAAGTGGTCATCGGAGCAGAGGGGCCGATCGGCATTGACTACCACTCCCTGCACTACTATTCAGATGGAGACGCAGGCGGAAGGAAGGAGGGATGGTTACAAAGGATTAAGTGGAGCCCAACATAAGGGCTCTAAGAGGACCATTATAGTTCCAAAATGGAATTGTAATTTTTTGCCTTCACCAGAATAAATTTCTAAATTTCCAATGTAGCCTGAAGTGCTTTCAGTAACTACACGAACAAGTAGGCCATACTTTGTAAGTTTCCCAGGATTATATGTTGGCATACGAAGCCTTCCCCTCCAAGGAATCACAGATTTGCCCAAAGATAGTTGTTGGTTTGACTTATAAACTGTCTGAAATTTCTGAATGAAAAAGTTTAATAAGGGCAGAATTTTGAAAAGCCTGCTTGTTGATTGTGGTTGCAGTTCATTATTATTCAAATGCAAACACCACCAAATTTGTTCAAATCTCTTACAGCTCATTAGTTTGCCGAAAATGGGAATTTATAAAAATGGATGTGTTGACCAATACTCTTTTAGATTATCCCTCCTTGTATGGCCCATTAGAAAGATAAAAAGTAAAAAAAATAATAAAGCTATCCCTGTACCAGGCCATGAAGGCTCATAGGGTTGTGAGACGTTGAGGGTCCCACACTATCTAGACAATCGGCTCAAAGATGGCGGTAAGGTTGTCAGCCTTACGGGCCGGCTGCACTTCACTCCCCAGGAAAATTATTTAATTAATTCCTGGTACTCATTTCTGTTAGAGGCTGAGTAAACCCCAGGGCCTAGTGCGGCTGGAAGGATTAGGTCAACTGAAAAAATCCAATGACCTCATCGGGACTTGAACCCGCGACCTTCTGGCTTGTAGCATAGCCCCTCAACCACTATGCTACCGCATGCCCCGCCCCCATTGGAAAGCTTATTGCAAAAAATTTTTTCATTTCTGCTGAAGTGACATCCACCCACTTCAACACCTTATAACTTCTGTCATACTCTTCACGGTGTTGGAGATAGTATCTGTTAGTTTGTTGACATAACATGTCAAAGAAACTATCTCCAAAAACAGTTCTGCTACTTCAGACACTTGCGTTGGGTCCGATGGAATTTGTTTCACCCCCAGATTTCCAACAACAAATAATTAACTCCACAGAGTCAGGGTCCTCCTTCAGAAGCTAACTTTACAAGAGTCTGCCAATGGATCCTATCCTGAACCAGATGAATCGATTTCATTCTCTCAGCTTCTATTTTTTTAAGATTCACATATGCCACTTTGTCCACCACAAATCCCACTTGACCAGACCTGGGATAAAATCCGGGCCACCATGGTGGGAAGCTAGTGACTAACCGCTTGAGCTATGGTGCAGCCTTAGCATGTGACCAATGGTAACAACAACACAAAATCACCCTGCCTACAAAATACCCTAGCTTAGCTAACAGAAACACAAATGTGATCATAATAACAAGATATGCCTAATATACACCTACATCAGTAATAAAAAATAAAAATAAAATTTAAAAATTTCCATATTCTTACCATTCCCCTACCCACTTATACAAAAAAAAAAAACATGAAACTAAACAATTTTAACAAAAACGTATAAACAATTAGTACTCTAAAATTTAATTGATTATTTATAAATAATTTCAATACATTCAAATATTTTAATCTAGATGTATGAATATGAATTAAATGTACTGTTTCATATTTTACATGGTAAAACTAGCAGCAATGGATCCATTGCACGAGCAGTTCAGTAATGAACAGTGATGCATGTTATTGTTTATGAAGTGCCTGATGATGATCTTAACTGAAACATGTAGCGCGTTAACATTTCAATAAACGATAATTATAGAAAATAAAAATTTGTGTAGTTACTATAGGATTCTGACGATGGTGTATAAAACACTGATATATTGGATTTCTGGACTTTATCCATCGTCCTGGTTTTTAAGATAACAAATAAAAACACGACGTTTCGGAAACTGGATCTGTTTCCGTCCTCAGGTGAAGGAAAAGGGGAACACCTATTCTGTTGGGTCCGTTAGAAAGAGCTAGCCTCAATCACTGGACCAGTGGATGGAAACAGATCCAGTTTCCGAAACGTCGTGTTTTTGTTATCTTAAAAACCAGGATATTGGATAAAGTCCAGAAACCCAATATACGAGTATCAGTGTAAAAATTTGTGATTGACAGATATGCCACATACTAGTGATACAACAAAATGTAGAACATATGAACGAAAATGACAAAATTCTGGCTGAGAGACTAATGTTGCACCAGTTTGCAATAAAAACACATATGAAAAGGTGTGACTATGAAGCACAAGAAAGGGTGACAGCCCTTTATGGAGCATTGATACATTCTTTTTAGTGTTCATTTTTAAGCACTTCACTGGTTCCTCTTCCTTTTGTAACTTCAGACAATTGCCCATGAGCTGTATAGTATGATTCCTCAAGCCCTTTCATTGTCCTTATCTTTGTGTTAGCTCTATATAATAGCTTACATTCGCAAATCCTCACGTCAGACTTAATTCAACATTCTGAAAACTGTGTTTTGGTTTAGTGTCAGGCTTGTTTAAATTTAAAACAAATTTTAGTTTTAAATAGGACGTCATGATATATGTTAAAATAAATAGAAATAAGAAATTTGTCCATCAAACACTATCTAAAAATCATAAATTACCTTCCAGTCTAATAATGGGTCAAGACTGACAATTTTAAAGTTAAAGCAACATAAAATGAACATTGTGTAGGTATCCCTCAACTTATGTAGGTAATTCATTCTCTGAAGACTGTTCATAATGTGAAAATGAAGTTCTCATTCTTATGCAAAAGTTACTGAACTTGAGAATGTAAGTTGTTCGTTGTGATGAAAATAAAGTTTGCCAAGTGAAAAAGAGGTACAAATGACAATGTCTTGTTGTAGCAAAAATTTATAAGTTGAGTGTTTACAAAAGGAGAGATAATATGTTACAAAAAAAAAAGCGTGGATTCACAGACATATTCAAACATATTTAACTAATGTTGTACTTTTTGTATTGTAATCCTTGTCATACCTGGTTCACATATTGGTATGTGTGTCCAAGTACCATTATTGCACTCTACTGGTGTGTTGTTGCCTGCAAGGAATTCATAACGTGATTCACATTCCACGCTGAGCTTCTCACCATGTTGAACAACGTGTGTTGAGTCTACCACGGAGCTATTGTTGGAGTCAGTCAGCAGCACCACACGACTTTGCTGAATATGAGGCACCACACATGGAGCTACAAAAAATGTAACGAAGGGAAATTAAGTTTATTTACATATTCATATACTAGAGTTAAATTGGTTGTCATCATAGCTAACATATCATTCCCAACAAGTCACAAAAAAGAATAGTAATTAAGATGAAGGGAACCAAATTGAATCTGCTGTCCACATTATGAAGTATAATTAGTGGGGTTCAAAGAGTGAACTGTGTGCAAATTAGAGGAAAAGGTTGTAACTACTATAAGATAAAATTACAGTATTCATGGCATCAGTGGTACACACTTTGCAAGAATGTTTGCATTTTCCTTGACTGTATTACTACAGAGAAATAGTATGAATACTTTGTGACATTTTCCCCTCTTGCTTTATATTTATTTTGTTTAATTATAAAAATATTATACATTTTAATACCTGCCCATCCCTTCCTTGCAACTGCTATTCGTAAATGCATTCTCTTGTTAATGCTTGTATATCACAAATCATTTAAACCAGTACTGACAAATACTGATGCAGTCCTCTCAAACTGCAAAACACAACTTGCCTTTTATCATGCCTGTAAATGTATTATATAACATTATTTTCTGTTCAGTCAACGAAAATTATTAAAACTGTATACTGAATTACATTACATTCTATACAATGGTACAAGGAAAAACGCTTCCTGTTAATATTCTTTCCTCCTCACAAGATGAAAGCACTGCAAGGGAGTTTTCTCACATCCTTATCCTCCTACACAAGACTTCCACCATTGAAAGTTCATATATTCTTTATGTCTCTTTGTCTTCCTGTCCCTGACAAGACACATTACATTTTTGACAACATAAAATACGAGTATTAACTGGTTCCAATATTTTGTTCTCAATACAAGTTTTAAATCTCATCAGACCTTAATCCTTAATTTTTAACTTCCTTTTTCATTATTTATCTTCAGAGAATATTCTAAAAGAATATTTTTTAAACAGTGAACCCAATAATGTAGAACACTTTCAGATTTAAATGTCTGATGTATATACATATACACAGTGCACTCCTAGTTATCTGGTATTTAAGCATTTGGCAAAATATTTGAAGATCATTTAGTATTTTTATATAGTTACTCCAAAAATAAAGATACACTGTGCATACATTCACCCAGCACATGGTAGTTCTCCCAAACACCAGTTGAAGCACTGCCCATCATCCTCCCTCATGCAGGTGCCATTACAGTCAAAGTGATATGTGATTATAGTACAGGCTGGTTGAACTAGTGAGTGTATCATAGCATACACAAAATATTTCACCCATCCATCCACTATGTCATCTAAGAAGTTCCCACACAGGAATTAAAGTGAAAACGCTTTGTTTTTACTTTGAAACAGAAAATGGAAAAATGTAGAACAAAGGAAAAGGCCAAAATAACATATAAATTGGATTTCTGTAAGAGTTTCCCTCAGACAAATGGCAGATTCCTGTAATCAGAACATCCAATTCCTCTTACATGCAAGATAATAGGGTGTTTACTGCACTATGAAAGAGCTTATTTCATATTAAATCTGAGAATGTTAGTCAGCAGATTAGCATCTATAGCACCAAACCTAACACTTTCTCTTCAGTCTGCACACTGCATCTACCACAGCCAACATATGTGGCATGAATGCATCTGTTTGCCTCAGCTTGCAGTGTAGTGCTGTAAACATGTGCGCTGGGTAGCCTCCAAACTGTATACCAATGCCGGCATTCCCTTCATGCAATTCTAGCATTTCTATCTCATAGTCACACATGAAATGCATATTAGTATATTCAGTATCAGTAAATTGTGCCATCTAGTTCTGCTGTTATTACTAATTTGCCATCTAAAATAAAGTCAGACATATGGGAATGTAGTTTGAGTTCTGTCTTGATATGTTATGTAGGCACCACCATACGAACAAAAAAATCAAGGCTTGAAGTCTGAAACATCATGACTATCAAAAAGTGGTGAACAGAACAACCATTTGTTTATATTTTCTGCCCTAAATTATCTTCTGAACATCACCCAAAATTTGGCCACAGAATTTTGACTCCATGTGTGTGTACCAGTGTAAGCATTAAGATGTATTTAATAGTGTTTTTCTGTACTGAGCTATCATACATGTTTCTTTCATTACTATGTTTTATAAGGAAAAGACCTTTTTTGACATTTATTCTTCATCTAGACACAGAGGCTAACGTGGATCCTAAATTAATAGTTATACAACTCAGAGAATACATTTGTGTACATAATGTCCACAATTGAAAAGTCTCTCAGAATGGATCTCAAAAAACATAATTCAAAACTTTTGCTTTGGCGCCATATTTGCAATTTTTAATACAAAAAGAGATATCATGCAAAATTCCTGATATGTTTAAAGGCTACAATATAGGTTATGCTTCCATTATAGAATTATCCAGACATAGATTACCAATGTGAAACAAAGTACTAAGTGTGTTATATACAAACACAACTAGCTGTACCACTAATGGAAATAAATCTGAGTGTCTAACCACAACACTAACATAAACTGTCCAGCACTTGCACTGTTATTACCAATTGGTGAGAAGTGATTCAGCTTCCCAGTTACTCACCAAGACACAGGGGCAGTGGATACCGCCAGTGTCCATCTATCTGGCATACAGATGATGTCTTGCCTATCAGCTTCATGCCTTCATGGCACCGGAAGATTATACTGGCTCCAAGACCAGTTCCAGCCTCTATATTCTCAAGCCAACCATTGTACAGAGGGCCGGGGTGACCGCAGTTAATCTCTAACCCGGAAAGAACACAGACAATACGAAGAAATGTAAGACAGATACAGAAGTATCGTTTTTCACCATAAGGCATCAGCGATGTAGCAAAAGCCAATTGAGTTACTTTATGAATATGAATTAAAACACAAACATTGAAAGGAATGATTCAATAATTTTAAGAAAACACACCCCATTTATTTTAGATCATGCTGAGATTTTTAGAAGCAGAACATGCCAAGACATTCAACAGGCATATGCCATTGAAGAAATACACTCCTGAAAAATTAATTCTTATGAGTAAACAAATTGAAGTTATTATAAATTTCAATTAAAGTGTTAGGTATAATATTTAGCAATCATAATTAAAGCTGAAGCATGAAGAGATAAATTTATAGAAATAACAAAATAAGAGGGGCAGGACTTCATTTTAAAGGTGTTTGATTTTGAAAGGTAAAATGTCAGTATACTCTTTCCAAAATCAAGTCCTTCTGCAATTTGCAGCTAGGTATCCAGTTTTGCAGCATAAAAATTTTATATGGATAACTCTCATGCTAGTGACTGTCAGCATGCTGCATTTTTCTTAATAAAATTACTTGTGTTCGTATTGTCTGTTATTTTCCTTGAGAGATTATTGCATATAAATCATGAATTTTCCAGGGTAATCATGCTATATTCTCTGGAGAATTCATGTTTCATTCAAGTTGGTAATATCACATGCAGGTTTACTTTTCTATTTGTGCACAGCTGTCTTGTCTTTAAGTGAAGAGTTATATGATGATGTGTTTAAAAAGAACACACTAGCTTTTACAATATTACATTGATTTTCAAGCTAAGAATGAGCAGCATTGGTTCATCATGCATAAAAAAATCTGAAAATTTCACTCATGTAAAGAAATTTATGAATTACATACTATAGATATAACTGAGCACCAATTGTATGCTTTTTTACATATGATGAAACGACTCCCATTTGTGCAAAATAAGCAATATATATATATATTTGTTGTTATAACTGATGATACACAGACTGTGTCAATAAAGTAAAGTTAGCACACTAACCATTTGCCAGCTTGAAACTCTTCAGCAAAAGGAATGTAATGGCAATATATTACATTCTCACACACACACACACACACACACACACAATCCAAGCAGTGCTGAAAGAGCAGGAATGATTCTAACTCACCCTTGCACTGCGGCATCACTCCTGACCACCTTTTGTCTGCTCCACACCTCCGTGTAGGGTCTCCAACAAGAGTGTAGCCATACTTGCATTCATATGACACTACAGAATTGTAGCTGCAAGATGTATAAATGGCCTTCCCGTTGTTAGGATTCTCAGGGGGAGGGCACTGCACGGCTGTAACCACAACACACACAAACACAACACCACCAACAAAAAAGCAATGTAAAGAAAGATGAAATTACAAGCACCAATAATTATGTAGAACAGTATTTATGCACAGTCACTGGATAGTGAAATTCTACTAAATTATCACACACTGTGCTACAAGCTTCTTCCTATTTCTCCACTGTCTTGCAGGCAAACAAGAACATACCAACCAGAGGAACATTTTTACATGTACGTTACTGAACAAATTTCAATTCACATTTTGCTGAATACAGAAAGTAACAGATCTATGAACCTATGACAACTAGGTTACCTACAAATAAAATATTTCTGAAAAATATATCTAATACGAGATTTTATTTTTAATTGTTTCATTTTTGGTCCGTTACACTATCAATCACAAAGTTAATAGAAAGTCCGTCGAGTGTAACAATTTGTAGGTCACTTCTTTATCACTTCTGCCTTACATGCTTCGGTTTGACACAACCATCATCAGAGGCACTTACTACAATTATGAAAATACTGTCGTTGTTAATGATGTTCACAGTTATGTTTGTTGTGTGGACACTGCTACAATATTGTTACACTCGACGGACTTTCTATTAACTTTCTAATACGAGATTTTACATCAAAATATTCGTGTTCTGAAACAATGGAAGCTAATGTGCTGGAGTATTAAACGCTTAAGGCTAAACAAACACAAGTTGAAGGGCATGTTTCGAACTTGAACAAAGAAAAAAAAAACTCAGTGGCTTTGGTCTGCAAGCAAACTATACCGACCAAGTGACCACCACTTGTCGGCGAAGTTATTGCCAACTTTAGGGGATACAAGGTGTCGCATGGTCAGCACAATGAATCCCCAAGGCCGTTAATTTCGGTTTTCTAGACCAGAGCCACTATTTCCTTGAAATAGCTCCTCAATTATCCTCATTAGGCTGAGTAGACCCCTTTCCAGACCCAATACTTATCAGAAAATCTGGTAGCACTGGGAATCGAAACCTGATCTCTGGATTTGTAACCAGAACCTCTGACCACTAGACAACAGAGGCGGTCTCAAATTTGAACACACATTTTCCATCTCCATCTTTGTGGATTTATATATCTCATTGGCATTTGTCCTTATTTACTGCTAGCATAAATCTTATAGTGGCAAAATTAAAATGTCATCCTTCATATTATTAAATATGTAATCAGATTGATTTATATAATTTTCAGGCTACCTCTCGATCTCTCTGAATGTAGTTCAATTCTGGTACTTCTGATACTTTTCTGGAAGATGTGTCATATATTAACAGCCACCATTACTGGATATGAAGAGCTCAGATCTTAACAATATTGTGCTGGCAAAGCCAGCAGAAATTTACCTGATTAACTGACCAGGAGCGCTATGAGCTGGTGGTTATTAATCAGTCACCAGCCATTGAAGACAGGAGTCACAAAAAGAACCAAAATTATTAGAAGCTGCTACCAAGCAACAGATAGTGAAGAAATAGCAGCTGTTGGCAGCTGTAATTATTCTAGATTATGTAGATTAACGACAGTGTTACAGTAATTTGTAGTTTGGAGAATTAAATAAACAATAAATTCAGTTCATTCATTCATTCATTTTATTTGGCATTCATAATTGCTACAACAGTAACACTTGAACAACAATAAATTCAGTGATCAGTCCAAGACCAGTGTCTAGTTACTCCCATGTGATATGTAACTGCACCATGCAGGAACATCAGCAATGTTGTTCATTTACATTCTTAATTACAATGTACTGCATGTAAACGAACTGTATTACTGTTAACAAAAGATGAAACACAACTGACCCCAGCACCGGCAGACGCCAAGAAAGACATCTGGTCTTTCTTAGCGACAAGCAAGCTGCATGTTGCTTGTAGACCCAGAACAGGAAGTATCCCACTGCATTTTCTGGGAATTTCAATGTTTAACTTCGGCGGTATGAGTCTTTGAAAATTTGATACTTGACAGATACGACTTGCAATAATTTTTGGAGAGGCATGCCTAGCGATCGTTAGTGTACCTTCATTTATTTGAGAGCTGTCAGAAGGACCGTCTTGTACTTAGGCCCAAATTTACATGGATCTCGTTAGGGATCGGCGGAATGTGAGTGAGACTAACACCCCAATTTTAGATGCAGCCAATCATCACAATTCAGAGGAGAGGAAACCGGGCGTTCCCGGAACCGTCAAGACTTCTGTCTCTCCGGAGGAGTCAGTCATCTTAGGGAGTAACAGGAGTAGCATCACGACATTTAGACCTCCCGGACATTAAATTGGTTTTGCACAAGTCCGGTACACAAATTCAACAGTGCTACAGCCTTGTAATAGGTACTTCTCGTTTACATCTGCAATAAAGAGCAACAGTGTTGAGTGAAGTGTGTGTTTCAAGTGTTCTCTATCTTCTTGTGTGAGCAAGACCCAGCAGTCGCCCTGAGACAGAATCTTGTCCTACCAACTGAGCAGTCGAAAACCCAAACGCCCGCCTATCCGCGTCCCCCTTATTGTTTACCCCGCTCCGAATTCGAGGATTGCACCCAAGTCCACTGGCGCCCACACAAATTCAATTTCAGAGTAATCCTACACCCTACCCTGAACCAGACAGCAACAGGAAGCGGCGGATAAAAGTGGAGGGCCAGGCAAGACCAACACAGCCGTGGATACCACCCAGCAGCAGGAGTGACACTACGGTGAAGGTAGGTGACCGACCCAGAAACCGGAAGGCATCGATCCACACATGAGAGTAAAAAAGGGCAACTAAGAGGACAGTTATAAGTGGCACCAAACAAAGGGGCCACACAGAACACAAAGTGAGCAGTTATAAGTGGAGCCCAACGTAAGGGCTGACGGACGGTTAAAGATAATATGAATTTGTATTCTTGGACTGAAGAATTGGTGTGATTAAGGCTATGCCTGGTGCTTTCCTCACCTAAACTAAGCCATAATATGTAGCTATACTATGGTGAGCTAACCTAATCAAACATACGGTCATTCAAAAGTTACACTACATAAAATAATTTAACAAGATGAAGGAAGACTTGCAGCCTCTGCTATTACACCATAATCTGTTTAAATAAGCACATATTTTGAGCAGCTTCCCAAACAGCTTTAGTGTACAGTTAGTCTCATAATATTCACATCTGCTTGTATAATTAAAAATATACTGAATTCTTACTATCCAGGGGGCATAAACAACTTCACTGTAGGCATGTGTAGAAACTGATGAATAACAGTGCATAATGTAATTATTATGTTGTATCCACATTACTATTAACAATCAAGAGCTTTGCATTTATACAGACTTCTTTGAAAAAATGAATGACAGGGCTGCCAAGTGTTAAGTATCTTCAAAAATAACATTGTTTATGCCCATACTACATTTGGATTGAACTGTTCTTGAGCTGGAACAAATCTAGAATGCAACTTACGCACGCATGCAGGTAACTCCTTCGGGCTCCATGATCCATCAGCCTGACAGTGCCGATCAGAGCGCCCAACCAATTCAAACCCATCGGCACAGTGATAAGTAACTCGACATCCATAAGTGTAGCACTCTCCAGCATGCCAGCCATGTGCAACATCTGCAGGTGGGCCACAAGACCTTGCTGAAGGATAAATTTCAGCAATTAATATAATGTAAACATGAGCATATAGAAATAATGTTGTAAAAGATATGCACAAAATATTACAGAGTACAGGGAGTCAGTGAGGTTCCCATCTAATTTACCAGTTTCAAGCACTATGACCAAAATGCTCTATTACTTGCACCTAACAATCAGAGCACTCGATAAGTACATGTATATGACAATGTATTACTTACTGTATTTCAAAAAGGTTCCACAGTTTAATACAATTATTGAATTCTATGTGGGTTGGGCAGGGATGAGCTCAAATAAACTAAGCGGAAAGTAGCCATGCAGCAGGAGAGCCAAATAGCAGGTTCTCTTCTCTCTCTCTCTGCATTTGGAAAGAAATATGTACAGTATCTGAACCTCTGATTGCCAGGTGAAGGTCAGGACCCATAATGGTGTCACTGTTGGATACAGAAGTTCTGAACAGGCTGAAACAGATCTCAAAGAGATTTTTTCCTACAGTTTAGGGTCGAAGATGGGTTTCTACGTTGTGTCCTAAAAGGTATATTAATATTATGATGCTCCATGTCTAAGTGCCACATCATTATTGGTGACATGAAATACTAGCTCCATGTATTTTTCAGCCTCGCACTAGATGCAGAGTGAATGATTAACTTCATGCTGTCACTTTACCGTGTGGGTGAAAGGATTCAGTATCTACTGGATAGATTGACTGAGCATCATAGCCAATCTAGAAGCAGCGCCAAATAAATCAATAATTGATCCTATAAGGAATCGAACCCGGCTGTCAAGTCACTCTGCTAATGTCCGTCATATAAACAAAAACTTACTTTCTCATCATGTGTGGGTTAGGTGAAAGTTACAGTGAGTTTATTTTTAATTCGGTTGGAAGAAGTTGTTATTTTATTACAGTCTTTGTTTCTTATTTGGTTATGTTATATCAGTGCTTTAAACGGGGGTTTTGTATGGTACAACATTACACTACGTATATCCTCGTACGTACCTCAAACTGGCATGAAGAATACCACATCATGCGTATTTCATAGTACAGTACGAATCAGAATTCTTGGCGCCTCTTGGCGACTGGCGAGGTTAGGCCGAGGGCACACCAAAGAAACTGGCAACCGCAATGCAACCGCAAAGCGGCCGTTTCCTCAATTTGCGCTGCTCCATCTAGTATCATGTGTTCCAACTCAAGCTTATAACAATTCAAGGAAATTGCGGTTTCGAGTTTTCCTGGTGTCCCCTCGCCCTAAGAGCAAGTGTTACTTTTTGACAGTAGGGAATTCGCCTTTGTCATAATATTCGAAAACAGTTCTAGGTGAAACATTTTTTGGTAGTTGTCTAGGTTTGTCGCTCGTTTTTTTTTTTTAATTTATGCGCTCCCCAGGTGACAGAAATACCTTCTCGATGTCCTCTTCTTTCCATTTTTTGCCCCCTTGCATATGCGCGAAACAGTCAACTTGCTTGAGCAACACATTTCAGCTGTTAGTCCCTGGCATGCAGTGAAACTCAAGTCTGCTTCGTTTTTCTTCATACATATAATTTTAATGAAATTCTACACATTAAAAAAAAATTTTAGGAACTTTGATGCCGTAACCACTGGAACGACCACTACCACTCGTACTCGGCTCACTAAGCAACGTGGTATATTCAAACACATAGAAACAATAACTACATACACATTTATTGACGTATATGTATTTACAAATTTCACAGACTCACTCATGGAGTAGAGCCTTTTTTGAGAAGCCACCAATTCTGCAGTTACGCAAGAACCACCCAGCATTTTATGGAACCCGAAGGTTCATTACTGTGTACACAAGAGCCCTCCACTGGTCCCTATCTTGAGCCAGATCAGTCTAATCCATATCATCCTATCCTATTCCTCTAAGATTAATTTTAATATTGTTCACCCACCTAGGCCTTGGTCTTCCCAGTGGTCTCTTTCCTTCTGGTTTTCCCACAAATAACCTATATGCAATTCTCTTCTTCCCATTCGTGCTACATGCCGTGCCCACCTGATCCTCCTTGACTTGACCATTCTACGAGTAATTACACTTATTTACATCTACTAAAATGTTATAAATCTGAACACAAAAACTCACAATACTTGTCCTCAGCTGAAAAGATAATGGCAGAGCTTGAACTTGCCACTAGAACCACGGACAAAAGAGAGATTAATAAGTTGAATGAATAACTGTATAAGGTGTGGGCATTCTTGGCCCTTGCACCACGACCACAGTGATCTATTGTGCCTACCTAATAAGCAGGGACCGGATTTGTATGCCCTAATAATTCCTTAAATATGTATGCATTTATGCATGAAAAACTTCCGAAATATGCACATAAGAATTATACCAAACATCAGAATTGATATTATATTATTTTAAGACCAATAAATCAATATTTAAGTTAATTTTATGTAATCACTGAATGATTCACTTGCAATAAAAAGCTGTACTTAAATAAAAATCGTGCAACAGAGCCAACACATTTCATTACAAATTTAAAAAACCAATGGTACTCACATTTACTCTCCGAACTTTCAACTTCTCTTCTGTTGCAGTTCACAGTTACTAAATGTTTTAGGTTTTCCATAGTCAGTCGCCTCCTATTGTCTCGTAAGATGTCCTTAAAGTGGGAAAAACTTCTTTCCACATCACAGGAAATTAGGGGTACATGTACAAAAGCCGCTATTTGCTCCACTGTTAGTGATTTTTACTTGGCAGTTCAGTATGTTTACTGGCTAAAATTTCTTCAATTTTACAAATTTCTTCATATCCCTGATTTTTTTTAAAGAATGCTGTGTACTTTTTCCTTTACTACTTCACCAACTCTTCCAGGAACCGAATTTAATTTGGAAACAGTGGTTTTGAACACACTTAATGACTGATACGAAGTAGTATTGCTAATGCTTGCCTCCAGTGAGGAAATGGTGGATGGAAGATGAGAGAAGTGAGGAGATATGTAGGAAAGATTAGTTTCTAGTTCTGCGTTTTTCAGTACATCTTGTGCAAATTGAATTGATGCTGCATTTTTGGGATCAAATGTATTCATGACATTCCTGTTTCTAAATGTTCGGTATAATAACTCGCTGCACACAGCCACGTACCTCAGCGCGTTAAAATTGGTTCTGGCGGAAGTGGAGCACTTGGTGCTACCGCTTTAATTACGGGGTCTCCAGAAACAACACCGTTTACTACTCTTTAGATTAAAATTGCGTACAGTGATTGCTACTCTTTACATAGTCTTCCTTCAAGTTAGACTCTCCAGTAACTTTTTCACACCAATTCTCTCCCAGTTTTCTAGTTAACCCCGCCTCCCCCTACTTCTCTGTTCTGCGTCTCCATTTCAACTCTCCACTTCCACTCCGTATAACAGACTGCCTCCTTTATTTTACAAGTCCCCCAGTGGTCATTACGGAAAAACAAGAGAAAGCCAAGGGTCAAGCCCGGCATCTGTCTCACATTCGTTTTTTTCGAGATGTCCATCATAAACCTCTTCAGATCTCCAAGGCGCAGGAACAGGAACTCCCGACCCCTTACCGGCCGGTCTCGTACAGTGTCAACCCATGGATTTATAACACGAGGAGCAAACTGGCGACATTAATGATAACAGTGACAGCCTAAGCCTAAGGAGGACAATGTTGAATTACAACTAGACGGTCCCGGGATGGTATCTCGGCAGAGAAGCGGCTCTCAGGGCTTGAAAACAATGCACAAATGGGTCATAACCCCAATTAAATAATTTTCAGTGTGGGACGTATGGTTACAACTTATAACGTAACAATTTCCTTTTAATATGTACTGGTTAATCCCTCAGGTTTTACTCCTGATCTGGTGCGTTTACCTTTTCCTGGTGAACCACGTCCACTTCTGGTTATAGCCATGCGTTTGTGGTCTCGAAACAAATTGTTAACACTGGATTCAAATACATGCCCCCCTCCCCCCCAAACAATTCCATTCCTCACGCGCCGCTGGAAACTTTCAAGAATAACAAAAGAACAATAAACGGTTTCACTCACAAAATTCTAAAGAACTTTTCAAAACAATACAGCAGAAACCTTCATCAGAAAAGAGTTACACGAATGAAAGGTAAAGTTTTCTTTGTGCCTAACTAATTAAGCAGTAGGCCATGAAGGGGAAAGGGGGAGTGAAAATATGGATCCATATTTCTTTGACCTCGGTACTACTTGGAGGTGAGTGGTCAGCTTCACGCTCCGACCGCTTTACCCCAGGGGAAAGAGCCCCCTGTACCCATTGGATAGGAGGTTGGGTGGACTGCAGAGCCGGTCTGGGCAACTTGGAGAAGAGAAAGTTCTCTAAACTACCGGTACTTAAACTCCGATCCCATGGTCGTCCAGACCGTAGCCAGTCGCTATACCCTGCTCCGTTTCATGAATAAATAAGGAAGAAAGAAATCACTTTGTGAATGTCAACAAAACATTCGACGTGGATGAACGCTACGTCATGAGTGGCAAGTTTGCCTGACAAAGTTTCGACAAACGAAAGCATACTTACATATAATCCCTCACCATTCTTTATTTTATTTCATGAAAATCATCACAACGTGAACGGCACACATGTACAATAATTGACAAGACGTACTAACGGAACAGCCCGGTGTCATAGAAAAATGGAGGCACATTAAAATATGCTTCAATTTTCTTTTTTGAACAATACATTTTGTTTCAGAAATATTGTCGTTATTTTCTACGGCAGTAATTTAAACCCCCATAATATTTTCCTATAAGAACTTTCTCACACAATAAAAATCTCTTGTTTTGCTGAAGAGCTATTGAATCCTTAAGAATTCTGTTTCATGGGGTTCTATAATAACATCAGTTGGTCGCGCCATAGCTCAAGCGGTTAGTCACTGGTTTCCCGCCGCGGCGGCCACGGTTCGATCCCGGGTCTGGTCAAGTGGGATTTGTGGTGGACAAAGTAGCGCTGGGGCAGGTTTTCTCCGAGTACTTCGGTTTTCCCCTGCCATTCTTCATTCCACCAATTGCTCCACAATCACCCTCACCTATCATCTGGGGCTGGTACAATAGGCCGGAAGTGGCCGCAGTACAAGGGACTTAGTCCCACCCCACTAGTAATAAAGAAAAACACTAATAACATCAGTTACGCTTTGCGTTACGTTTCTCTTTTCGTAATTATGTTACTCCTGGTTTGAAAAAGAAATAGACGACAACATTAAACATGCTATAAGAATAATACTACCTAACACGTATCTGGTGTTCACACATGTGAATTAAACATGGCAAACATGCAGATATCTGATGGTGGAATGTTAATATACTCACGTTTACAGGTGAAGTCCGGGCCAAACCAAGATGCTGCCGATCCTAGTTCCAAACATTTGGCTGTGGAGAAACCTTCGGTTACATAGCCACGGTAGCACTGATACTGCAAGGTGGTGTTCAAGTCAAACGTCGTCTGTTCTGGCAAAGCGTTGTGTCTGGCATTCTTTACGGGTGGAGGAGAAGTGCAGTAAACTGAAATAATATCCACTGCTGTGACCACGGTCTCCTGGATACCAACAGTCAGAATTGTTCTTCCCCAATTTACCCTATATCGTGCGTAGTTTTCTTTGTTTTTACTTTCTCTCTGGTTCAGAGAATTACGACCATCATATTGACTCCATTTTCATCAGCCAAAGCACATTTCAAATGTAAGAATATCAGCTCCACAGTTCCGGAAATGATTGTGTGAATGACTATTACAACTGGATAGTATATGAACATATATAAGAAAATCACTACGCTAATTACTCAGAGATTTATTATAGCTTTATTGCGAATAAGTAATCATTACAACTTGCTAAATTCGTTATCTGTTTCAGGGTTCAAATTGTTTGAATAATTTTAAGAACTTAAGAATATCGCATTTTCGCAATAACATTTTTACTTACGGATCGTAGACTGGCAACAAAGAACTATTTTATATTTCGTTCGTTATAAAATTATGATGGGCAGAAAATCCTGTGCACTAGAAAAACGTTAAACAAAACTGTGTTTTAGCTTCGATCATTAAATTGGCCTTCTCTGCCACAGTCTTTTAAACATTTAATACTGAATTTCTTTTCCCTCTCTCTGAAACACGGTTTCTATCTTCATAATTACTATATCTGAAGCGTCCAAGAGAACCTGCCTTTGACAGCGATACACATTACACCACACATCCAGTATTCTCAATGGGTATGCTTACGTACGAGGGAGAGTCAGTAAGTACGTTACAAATGGAGGTAAAACAGATGCAGTGGAGGAAGTATATTTTCCGTGTGTCACTAAGTAGCAACACAATCCAACTTCATGACAGTTTAGGTGGCAGACGCGCATGCGCATGTTCAGAGGACGGTTTAAGTAGTCAAAATGGCGACTGTGCTTGAGGCTTATACTACCGAAGAGCAGTGTTCCATTGTGTATTTTTGTAGCCAAAGGGACTCAATGCAAAATAATAATCGGTGTATACCTAATATATTATATTCTGATTTTAATAAGAGCATTGAAATATTTTTTTATATTTTATTTGTGCAGACGTCCAAGCGACAGTGTGGATTAGTCATGATATTATTCATGAAAATATCTATGTTTAAATAATATAAATGACCATGGAAACTGATCTGTACTTTATAATTCAAGAACTGCTTTGGCAAACTTTGAAGAATAAATATTAAACATCTGATTTCAATTGTGCATCAGACCCCAACTCCGGGTCTGTGGCCTCGACTTGCTGCGCCGATGTCGCATTGTTGGCACAACTTCTCAACTTCCATCCCCACATATAAACATTAGTGCCGATGTCTGACTTTTTCCGGGGCCTTTTGGCAGCCAAGTTTCCTCCTGAGAGTCCTCCAAGGAAGGCTCTCAACGTTTCCTTCGCTTTGCTCCGGGGTAGTTCTGTCTGGGTTATTTTGGTATGTCCATCAGCTGACTCCCATTCGCACTTCAGCACGTCACAATTCACCCCCATGGAGTTTCGCCAAGCCAAGCCCTGTAACCCTTATAACTGGGACAGCGGTGAAAAATATTCTCCCACGTGGGATCTCTCCAGTTTCAATTTCCTCTAGAATAGGCCCCAAGACACTGCTGTATACCTCATAGCGCGGCATGGTCCCAATTATCAGTGATAGCAAGAGCGATAACAGGTACTTCCAGGCTACCTGAAGTTCCTTCGAGTTTATAGCCGTGAATATATTCTTTCGGAAGGGGCTAATGTCCTTCTGCAAGTAAAATTGCATTCCTTGAGAAGCTGAATATAGAAGCCGTCTGCTCTTCAAGGTTCTCGAAAATTATAAGCAACGTCAGGGCTTAATGGTAAGTACTCAGGTGAAATCCCTATCATAGACCTATTTGTGAATGTGTACCAAATTATTCGCCATACCCAACAACTCAAGCCGGGTAAGGCAATAGTTGCTTTCGGCCTTGGATATGATTGTGTGATAGCAAGCTACTACAAGATCCTGGCCCTTGTTGACGTGTGGGAGAACACCTCCAAATCTCGAGTTGCCCGCCCTCATGTTGATGACGCATTTCTCAGTCGAGCTGGAATACATTAGGGATGGTACCATACACAACAACTTCTTCAGAGACAGGTAAGCAGCGGATTGTTTCCAGGTACCACTGAAAGATCCATTTACATTCCGTGCTCTGGGTCGGTGCTTCGCAATGTCCATGATTCAAGCTATGAATCCCCAATAGTAGGAACACAGACCAAGGAAGTTCCTTAACTCGTGTTTGTCTTCCAGTGGTGGACATTCCCGTATAGATCTCACCTTCTATGAGTTACTCATTCGGTGATACGATAAGTTCATATATATATATATATATGGTAACTCTTTCTAAAACTGTTGGAACTTTTCGAGGTTCAGTTTGTGGTGAGCTCCAGGAACTATTGGAACACATTCCGCAGTGTGTCCATTTACTTCTGAAACGTCCGGCCGACAACGATCATATGATCAAAATAAACGAGGCAGATTTCTTAAATAAAGCCAAAAGGGATGGATATCATCAAGCACTCGAAAGTTGACGGAGCGTTTGAGAGACAGAATGGTATGACTATGAAAATCCACGGCCTTTCTCTGGTAGAGCATGCTGTCGCTAGGGTGTAGGACAACCTACTAGTAGCCGCTCTTCAGCACTAGGATTGAAATCTTCTCGGCCCCGGCGGGCCTATTCAGGGTATCGTCGGTTTTGGTAGCATGAATCAGTCCTTTGTTACGTCATTCAGCATTTGGAAGTCCACAAAAGTAAAACCAATGTACTGTACCCTTCAGACGAGAATGATATGTGTAGATCCAGGACATTTCGATTGCTTGATTACACCAAACCCTTTGATGTCCTTCAGCATCTTCTAGGCCTGCATGACTAACAGAAGTCTATATGGGAGCTGGAAGATTTGATGGGCGTTGTCGACGTCGATGCGCTGTTAAAGTCTATCGGACGGACTGCCAATATACATCGCTCCTTGTTGCGAAAATATCCTGGACTTCAACGATTAACTTCTCCAAATCTCCTGTTTCTCTGGCGTTAAGTTTCGGCCTGTTGTCGGATATTACATTTTGCAGCTGTTAATAGAGTCGTTAAGTCCTTGAGTCCTAACCGTCGACTGATTCCGACCATTCAATGATTAGCAGATGCCAAAGGAATTTCCTACAGCCGGTACCTGCTTTAAGTCCCTCACATGATCACGAAAATTTAAACAATTCCGTCTAGTGTGACTGGTGAAGATTTTCCTTATTTCAATTATTCATGCCCTTACATGTTTCGGTCTTCAGAGACCATCATCAGAGGGACCAAAACATGTAAGGTCATGAGTAGTTGAAATACGGAAAATCTTCACCAGTCACACTAGACAGAATTGTTTAACTTTTCATGATATTGTTAGTGTGACGGACCATAAAGAAACAAATCAAACTCCCTCACATGAGTTAATTTGACGAGCACTTCGTGTTCAAATTGAACCAAAGTCCTGTCTATGTAGATTCCTTCTTGCTGGGGAGATTCCACTCTGGGTTCCGGTAGGTAGTCCGCCGACACCAGCCTTGCAGTCATGACCATATCACCTCGCGAATGATTAGCTCACTCGAAGCACATATCTTATACACGACCACATTTCTGAATTTTCTGATGTCTGTATAGACTGGAGCTACCTAACAAACCGACAATCTCGGGCCCGTGTTTCTGGATTATTTTTCTCTTTTGAAGTAAACTCCCGTGTTTCTAAAGGATATTTTATGGGACCCTTACATTTCAGTGTGTCTCCTTATGACTTATGTGGTGCAATTACCTATTCTAGGCATCTGTTTTGTGTTGACTATATAAAAATCTCAAGTATCATTAGATCTCCTGAAGACTGGACTCTATTATAGTCGGACATTAACGCCATAGAAAGTTGGTGCACTACCAACTGTATGAAACTCAACAACAGTAAAATTAAAGTTATATCCTTCTACAGGAAAATAAACGTACTGATATGTGATTATAAACCTTGCCACACCTCTATAACTCGAATCGACTCTATAAAAGGCCTGCGAGTATTTACTGATGCTAAACTTCATTTCCATGGCCATTCAAACTATAATTTCCTCTCACTGTATTAAATTTTTCGGTCTAGTTCACAGCATAACCTTGACCTTCTCATGTCTTAAATGTACATATTTATTATATTTTAAGTTAGTTGGATCTAAGCTTCAATACACCTCTTTCATAATATTTTGGATTTAATTAGTCTAATGATGCAAGGAAACTGGAACGCATCCAGCAGAAGTTTTCGGTTCTCTAATTAATCGTTTGTTTCCTCAAGTACATTACAGCTATCTTCTTGAATTGGAGCAGCTAAATTTGCACACCTTCCGTAAAGGGAGGTTCCGTCTCGATGTACTGTTCCTTCTTTAAGTTCAACTTGGCATTAAATTCTATCCTTCTCTTTTGAAGACTGTTGGTCTTGAATTCCTGCTCGGTTCATCAGAGACTTTGCTTTATTTCCATTGCTAGATGCGCTCCAGCTCTTAATGTTGTTTGTCGGGACGTTAAAGCATTTTGAGCAAAAATTGTTTTCTCAATATTTTACGACGGCCCTTTTTCGTATTAAAATATTAATTTTACACAATACGAATATATGAATATACATATTTTTCTCGGTGCATAATGGCTGATGCGAATTTTTGTATTATTGTTCAAGCGACCTTGTTTTTTGTTTGTTTGTTTGCGTGTAAGTGTCTGATCTCATCTTTACTATCCCTTGTTTCGTAATTGATCCTTACGTTATCGTATAAGCACGTAAATAAATAACAAATGTAACTGGATTTTCATTATTTTATATATATACAAAATTGAATTATTTCTCTCTGACATATTTTATATTAGCCATGGTTTTTCAGTCATCAAAATACTGACTGTATTCATTTTAATGTGCATATTTTACAATTCTCACTTCTTAATGATTGCTATGATTTGTGTTAATGGAATTATTACTATTATTATCATCATCAGCA